GCACAGGATTGATTCTGTTCCAAATCAGTACGGACATCGAATTTGTCCCAATGCCGGAATTACCGAAAGAATCCCCCAAATCCATGTCTGAAACAGAATGGATGAACTCATTAAAAAAAGGTTGGGAGGATACAAAAAAAGCTTTGATGGAAGCTGCTAAGGAGTACAAAAAGCAGGCAGACAAACAAAAATCCCTCCAACCATCATTTAAAGTGGGAGACGAAGTATATTTGTCAACAAAATATCTTAGATTGAAACTTCCTAGTAAGAAGTTGGGGCCAAAATTTTTGGCCTATTCCCAATAACAAAAGTAATTAATCCAGTCACAGTCCAATTAAGTCTTCCCCGATTACTGGGGAAAATATACCCAGTGTTCCATAGTAGTTTACTAAAATCGGCTATTACATCAACAATAAGGCCACTGCCAACTGCTCCCCCTCAGCCTTTAATCGTACAGGGTGAGAAGCATTATCAGGTTAAGAGAATTGTCGATTCCAGATTAACTGAGGACGGTTACAATACTTAGTATTGTGGAAGGGTTACCCAATCTTGGAGGCTACTTGGGGTAAAAAGTTGGGATGTACATGCCGATAGATTGGTTAACCAGTTTCATGAGAAATTTCCCAACAAGCCGAAGGACCCTCTTGGAGGCAGGAGAGGGGGGTTAGGATATAACATTATCCCCTGTTTGTATTTGTTTCTTATGTTTCTTTTTAGGAAGTGAATTTCTCAAGGGGGGATGCCTGTCAGCTTTGGAATTGTTATTAAAAGCTGCCACACAGCTGCAGAGGATTGCTGATGTTGATGCTGTTTGAGTAGCTCTCAGTAGACAAAATAAATTCTGTAGTAATTCAAGGTCATTGTGAATGGACAGCAAGAATTGGGCTGAAGGGGGATTGGTTCATGTGATGTATGATGTGGGAAGTCGGGGAAAATTTTAGTTTTGGGATTCCACAGAGGTACCAAGTTTCTATTCTAATAAAAGTACTTTGAGATTATAGTTGTCTTGGAGTTACTGGCTGGAATGGATAATCTCTGGAACACAAGTTCATTTAAGAAGGCATATTTATCTCTTCTAGCTATTCTCTGGAATTCTGCATTCAATTGGGTGCATCTTTCTCTTTTTCCATTGCTTTTCACTTCCCTTCTTTCCTCACTATTTTCAAAGCTTCCTCAGACAGCCATTTTGCTTTCTTGCATTTCTTTTTGTTTGGGATGGTTTTAGCTTCTACCTCTTGCACAATGTTGCGAACCTCCACCCATAGTTCTTCAGGCACTCTGTCTATCAGATCTAGTTCCTTAAATCTATTTGCCACCTCTACTATATAATAATCAGGGATATGATTTAGTTCATATCTGAGTGGCCTACTGCTTTTCCCTACTTTCTTCAATTTAAACCTAAATTTTGCAACGAGAAGCTCATGAACTGAGCCACAGTCAGCTCCTGGTCTTGTTTTTACTGACTGTATAGAGCTCCATCTTGGCTGCAGAGCACATAGTCAATCTGATTTTTGTGTTGATTGTCTGGTGATGTCCATGTGTAGAGCCGTCTCTTGAGTTGTTGGAAAAGAGTGTTTGCTATGACTGTCATATTCTCTTGACAAAATTCTATCAGCCTGTGCCCTGCTTCATTATGTATCCAAAGCCAAACTTGCCTGTTATTCCGGTTATCTTTTGGCTTCCTACTTTAGCATTCCAATCCCCATGATGATAAGGACATCATTTTTTGGTATTATTCTATAAGGTGCTGTAGGGCTTCATAGAACTGGTCAATTTCATTCTCTTCAGCACCAGTGGTTGGGGCATAGACTTGGACTACTGTGATATTGAATGGTTTGCCTTGGATTCAAACTGATATTCTGTCATTTTGGGGATTGTATGCAAGTATTGCTTTTCCTACTCTTTTATTGACTATGAAGGATATTCCATTTCTTCTGAGAGATTCTTGCCTGCAGTAGTATACCTGATAGTCATCTGAATTAAATTCACTCATTTCTGTCCATTTTAGTTTGCAAATTCCAAAGATGTCGATGTTCAGTCTTGTCATCTCTTGTTTGACCACGTCCAGCTTGCCTTGATTCACGGATCTTACATTCCACATTCCTATGGATAAAAGGTCTTTACAGCTTCAGACTTTCCTTCCACCACCAGATCTGCATCCACAGCTGAGCATCCTTTCAGCTTTGGCCCAGTCACTTTACTCTTTCTGGTGTTACTAGTGCTAGCCTTCCACTCTTCCCCAGTAGCATATTGGACACCTTCCGATCTGAGGGGCTCATCTTCCAGCAACATATCTTTTTGCCTTTTGGTACTGTCCATTATTGTGGTGAAGGGGGTTGTGTAGCTCAATGAAGTTAAGGGCCACCTAAGTCAGACAGGTCATTGCAGAGAGTTCTGATCCACAGAGATGATGATCCACCGGAGAAGGAAATGGCAATCCACTCCAGTATCTTTTCCATGAAAACCCCATGGACAGAATTATTAGCCATTATTTAAAAAATACAACAAAGTCTAAAGCATAGACTTTGAAATATACTGCTCAAAAAAAATAAAGGGAACACAAAAATAAGACCCTAGATCTGAATGAATGAAATATTCTTATTAAATATTTTGTTCATTACATAGTTGAATGTGCTGACAACAAAATCACACAAAAATTATCAATGGATATCAAATTTAGCAACCCATGGAGGTCTGGATTTGGAGTTACACTCAAAATTAAAGTGGAAAAAAACACTACAGGCTGATCCAACTTTGATGTAATGTCCTTAAAACAAGTCAAAATGAGGCTCAGTAGTGTGTGTGACTTCCACGTGCCTGTATGACCTCTCTACAACACTTGGGCATGCTCCTGATGAGGAGACCATCCATCTCCTGAGGGATCTCCTCCCACACCTGGACTAAAGCATCCCCCAACTCCTGGACAGTGTGGTGCCACATGGTGTTGGTGGATGGAGCAAGACATGATGTCCCAGATGTGCTCAATTGGATTCAGGTCTGGGGAACGGGCGGGCCAGTCCATAGCATCAGTGCCTTCATCTTGCAGGAACTGCTGACACACTCCAGCCACATGAGGTCTAGCATTATCTTGCATTAGGAGGAACCTAGGGCCAACCGTACCAGCATATGGTCTCATAATGGGTCTGGGGATCTCATTTCGGTACCTAATGGCAGTCTGGCTACCTCTGGCGAGCACATGGAGGGCTGTGCGGTCCCCTACAGAAATGCCACCCCACACCATTACTGACCCACTGCCAAACCGGTCATGCTGGAGAATGTTGCAGGCAGCAGAACATTCTCCATGGCATCTCCAGAGCCTGTCACGTCTGTCACATGTGCTCAGTGTGAACCTGCTTTCATCTGTGAAGAGCACAGGGCACCAGTGGTGAATTTGCCAGTCCTGGTGTTCTCTGGCAAATGCAAATATCCTGCATGGTGTTGGGCTGTAAGCACAACCCCCACCTGTGGATGTCGGGCCCTCATACCACCCTCATGGAGTCTGTCTCTGACCGTTTGAGCAGCCACATGCACATTTGTGGTCTGGAGGTCATTTTGCAGGGCTCTGGCAATGCTCCTCCTATCCCTCCTTGCACAAAGGCAGAGGTAGCGGTCCTGATGATGGGTTATTGCCCTCCTACGGCCTCCTCCACATCTCCTGATGTACTGGCCTGTCTCTGGTAGCACCTCCATGCTCTGGACACTACACTGACAGACACAGCAAATCTTCTTGCCACAGCTCGCATTGATGTGCCATCCTGGATGAGCTGCACTACCTGAGCCACTTGTGTGGGTTGTAGACTCCGTCTCATGCTACCACTAGAGTGAAAGCATTCAAAAGTGACCAAACCATCAGCCAGAAAGCATAGGAACTGAGAAGTGGTCTGTGGTCACGACCTGCAGAACCAATCCTTTATTGGGGATGTCTTGCTAACTGTTTATGCTTTCCACCTGTTGTCTATTCCATTTGCTCAACCGCATGTGAAATTGATTGTCAATCAGTGTTGCTACCTAAGTGGACAGTTTGATTTCACAGAAGCGTGATTGATTTGAAGTTACATTGTGTTGTTTAAGTGTTCCCTTTATTTTTTTGAGCAGTGTATTTGTTAAATACCTGAGTTGAATATCATATTTATTTATTTTTATTTTATTTGGTTTGTCAATTGCTTACAATATAATAGGTATAAGTAAAAACATAGTTATGAATACTTATAAGAAAAATAAAAGAAACAATAGGACAGGGACAGTAGGCACATTGGTGTACTTATGCACGCCCCCTACAGACTTCTTAGAAAAGGCGTGAGGTCAGTAGTAGAAAGTCTAAGGTTAAAGTTTTTGGGATTTGGGGAAGAAACCACAGAGTCAGGTAGAGTATTCCAGACATTGACCACTCTGTTGCTTAAGTCGTATTTCCTGCAATCAAGTTTGGTGCAGTTAACCTTGAGTTTGTATCTATTGTTTGCTCTTGTATTGTTATGGTTGAAGCTGAAATATTCATTGACAGGTAGGACATTGCAATGTATAATTTTATATACTATGCTTAGATCGGACCAAAGGTGGAGTAGTTCTAGGTTTTCTAGTTCTAGAATTTCAAGTCTGGTGGCATAAGGTATTCTGCAACTAGTAGAGGAGTGGAGAACTCTGTGTTAATATCAGATACATAAAGTGGGTTCCATTTAAAATTAAAATGTGCATTTTAAATTCTTAGTCAAATGTTGGGTAATTTATTTCAAGATGGAGATAATTTGATTTATAATTAGAGCAAGAGTCAGTAACATATTGCCTATTTTACCCTTCAACTTTAGCCATAGAACTTCAAAATTAAATAAGAATAGGAAATGGCCCATGTTAGGAGATCACCAAATTTTCTGAGGTTGTGCATGCCTGAAATCTAAATGCATCTATTACAGATAAAGAATAGAGAATGTTTGTTGAAAGCACTGGTGTCATGTTTATACGGAGTAATGTTGCTTTTAAAGCTGAACTCAACTTCTTTTCTCTAGGCATTGGCTAGTATAAGTCATATTGCTCATATTACTATAACTTCTAAAACAGCTGATGGAAAATGTGCCTACAGGTAGGTCTATTTAATATTTAAATGTTATTTATTTTAGGAAATTTATATTGCTCCCTATTCAAACTTGGTGGCTAAAGGCGGCTTACAAGAACATAAGAACCTCATATATAAAAATAAAACTAATAAAAGAGAATAACAAATTAATAAAATAATATAATAACATTCTCTATCCTGGCAACAATATCCCCATTTAATGGGTTCCATCCTGCTCTGGTTTTCCCAGGCCTGCTGGCAGAACCAGGTCTTCAGCACTTTCCAGAAGAGTATTAGAATGGGAGCCATTCTAATCTCAGGAAATGATGTTCCAGAGAGAAGGAGCCACCATGGAGAAGGCCCTTCTAGATCTCACCAGGTGTATCTCCCTAGGGGATGGGACCTGCAACATTCCTTGCTCTGGTGGGTTGGGTAGATGTGACTGGCAAGAGAAAGACCCTCAGATAACCTGGTTCCAAGCCATGAAGGGCTTTAAAGGTTACAACCAGCACCTTTATTGTATAGATTTTTTTATTTTTTCTTATTTACAAACATATCATTGTGTGAACAGTGGTACAGGATCCCTTACATTTTAGAATAAATATGACAATATTGTTCATATTCAATACAGATAACAATCTTATAAATTTTCTTATTAATACACATATATTATTTGATTATGCACCATTCAATATCTTATTTTTATGTCAATCTCCATTTTCTAAATATCCCTCTTGTTCTTCTGGTAAAATATTAATCATATTTTATTTGTAGTGTTTAACAGATTTATGTGATTCCAATAATAATTCACCAATTTATATTGAATTATAGTCTTCCATTATTTATCACCTTTCTAATTTTTGATTTTACTGCTATTGTTATCTAATCACATTTTACAACTTAATAACAGGCAAAATAATCGTATTTATGTTTGACAGGTTATATAATTCAAATAATAATAGTTATCTCTATGTCCTTAACATCATTCCTTTTACTATAGATACTATATTAATAGTTATGCAGTGTTTAACAAATTATATAATTTTCATAACCATTCATAAATTCATATTGGTTTATTTTTTCCCATTATTTATCCCCTTTTCAGTTTTTAGTTTGCCACTATTATATTTAAAGTCCCTTTCTAGTCACATTTTAATACAAATAAAATAATATTCATCATGTTTACATTTAACAAATTGTGCAATCTAATAATAAACTTCTATCTTTTGTTATATTTCACTACATTATCTTTGGGTCAATCAGATTCCACATATTTCTTCTCCTACCATAGAGTATTAACATTTATGTGAAGATATACATTTGACTATTGTATCTTTTCTAATAATACACGCATTTATGTGGAATCATAATCCCCCCTTTAGCCAGCAACTCTTACAATAGAGCTTTGATTAATAGTTTCTTAGCTTGCCTTACACTTTCCTCTCTTGAATTTTCATCTCTGTCATTTTTGGACCATTCCTCTTAATCATTTTTCCCTTTTCTACTATGTTCCATTGTCTCTTTTTCAAGTTTCAAGTCTCATCCAGTTCACACATCATTTACTGTCTCTTTGTTCTTGCATTGTCTTGGGTATTCAGATTGTCTCCAGCTTCATGGCAGCCATTTTGGTTGCCGCTGCACTGTCTTCAGATGAGGTTTTTTTTCAATGTCAGGGAGGAGAGATGTGGCTCTCCTTGATCTGCCAGGCAATCCCCTTTACTTCACTACCCCTCCAGGGTGGCTGTGGCTTCAATTGAAGTCCTTCTACAGACGAGCTTGGAACGGGGCTGTGGAGCTTGCGGTCCTCGCTTCTGATAGCGCCAGAAGTACAGCCGGAAGTTCAAACATTAATCACGACCAGAGTCCACCTGCTTGTCACCTCCCAGAAAGCTTTCACAAGCCAGGAGGAACATGGATCTAAAACACAGGTGCTTGTGCACATACTCTCTAGGATCCTGACCACTTCCTCAGGAGCAACAGGGTCAAACTGTTCCCAGATAACAAGACAAGAACATGCCTTGGGCTTCCATTGGAGAAGCAACCACATCAGCATCTAACTGGGAACAAAGTTGAGCAATTTTGTCTTCAAGAAAATCCACAAATTCCTCAATCTCTCCCTTCCTCAGGAGGAGGAGGCTCACCTTATAGAGAGTCGCTGGGTGATTATCTGCAGATGCACCTAGTGCAGAGAAATATTTACATTTCGCCACACAAATTGCCACAAGGTAAGCTTAATTCCAGGTCACATAGGCATTGCTCCGACAAGAACACCTAATTGGGTGTGTGACCACTATTCCTAGTCAGGCCCTGGATAGCCTGGGACAGGGCCATGGAATTCATGGTTTCCTTGAAATCTCAGGCTACCTCTGACCCCACTCCCAGGGATGGCAGATTGAAATCCCCCAGAACCATAAGCCAGGGAAACTCTACTGCCAGCCCTGTGGCAAAGTCCACAAATCTGGGTAGGGAAGCTACCATGCAGCAGAGAGGCTGGTATAGCAGCAGCAATCCCACCTGATCCCTTGAGCCCAACTTAAGAAAAAGGGTCTCACAGCTGGGCACTTGTGGAGCAGTGCCCCTGGAAGCTGCTAGAGAATTTCTGATAACAAAAGCCACACCCTCCCCGGACCTGAGGCCTAGACTGGTGCCATGTTCAATAACTCACTGGGCACATTTCTAAGAGGAAAACGCCTACGCCTAGCCAGATTTTGGTGATACAAGCCAGATCAGCCTTCTCTTCAAGGATCAATTTGGCAATAAGTAGCCTTATTGCAGGCTGATCTGATTGTCAGGATTCCGGCACTTAACCCCATTTAAATCATGAGTCTCGAGCTAAACTTCCAAAACTTCAAAAGGATTTATTGGGAGTTAAAAGATCTGCATTGCCTATGTGTAGCCGACTCTGAGACACATCATTCATTCTCACCTTTGACCCGGTTTTCTCCCACCCCCTGAGTGTATCATAATTCATATTCTCCAATGGGACATATCCATATCCAAGAGTCATCAATCATGCTCTCCAGTTAGAATTTTGCACAGCAGAAAATTCAGTTACCTAGTTACTATCTTTTAAAATATTTATGGAATGCAGTTTCGGTTTGCAAGCTGTCTCACTGCTCCCCTCTCCCTTTCTGTTGGCAACTCTAAAAGACCATAGAAATATTTTATGAGTTGATATTCAGTTCCCCTCACTTCTTGAAGGTGACCTGTACAACGCAAAAAGAAAACAAATTTATTGCAGGGATAGGACTTAGGCTTGGACGTTCATACTTTTTACCCAAGATGCCTCTGATAAGGGATAGCACTTCCATTGGAGTTGTCTCCTGTGCCACCTCAAATCGAGGATTTCCTGCACCTCATAATGGGTTTGGCCTTCTGTGACCACGGGCCTGGGGGCTCACTGACTAGAGTTGACACTGACATTTAAAAGCAGCAGCCAAAGATCAGGGCCACCACAGATCTGGTGACCAGGTAAATGAGGTGAGTGCAAGGGGGCAGAACACAAGATTAGTACTTAACATGAGGTCGCATTCCCTGTCCTGCTCTCCCCTTGCCTCCCATATCTCCCATTTTCCGACACCACTAAACTAGACTCCTCCTCTGCCTTCCCTGAAAACCATTCTATCCCCCATCACTAGCATTCTTTCTTACAAAAGGGTAAACCTCCTCCAATTGACAAACCATCGGCAAGGTGAGCCTTACAGGCAGTATAGCATTTGCTCTCAGTGCCTTCAAACTCACACCACCCCTTCCTCACTGCCACAGAAGGGTCACATCCAGCACCCCCTTATCTCACAACACACTCATAATACATCCACCCAATGCCCAAACATCGCTCTTCCCAGTTCTTTCCCACCAAGCAGGGAGCCCCCCAGTTCACCCAGGGGAGAGGGACCAATACACTTGCCTCTCAGCCAACTTTCTCTTCCAGCCTTGAATTCCCTGAACACCCTTTCCAGGCCTGATTATAGAACATTCAGAAGATTGCAAAAAATAGTCAGAAGAGTAGCCAGAAAGCCTGCTATGCAGTGCTAGATATTGTAGCAGCTGTGTAGTCCTACAATGTCTCCTGAAGTTCACACAATTCCAAGCTGCCACTCCCCAGTTAAACCTCAAAGAATCCCAACTTCACCTACCACATTCCACAGTATTAGTGACCCCTTCACATTGCGTAGACCAGATCGACGCCACGCTGGCACTGTTACCTTTTTGCACTGGGTAGACCAGGCCGAAGCAACACTGGCCTGATCTTTCTTTTTTGCATTGGGTAGACTGGGCTGAAGCCTCACTGGCCTGATCTCTCTTTGCACTGGGTAGACAGTCAAAGTTACGCTGGCTCTTCATATTGGGTAGACCAGACTGAAGCTATAAGCTGGCTTGATCTCTGTTCATACTGGGCAGCCCGGGCCAAAGCTATGCTGGCCTGATCTTTCCTCTTCACACTGGTAGACCCGGCCGAAGCTAGGTTGGCTGATCTTTCCTCTTCGCACTGGGTAGATTGCTCTGAAGCTATGCTGGTCTGATCTTTCCTCTTCACACTGGTAGACCGGGCCGAAGCTACGTTGGTTGATCTTTCCTCTTCACACTGGTAGACTGGTCTGAAGCTATGCTGGCTGATCTTTCCTCTTCTCACTGGTAGACCAGGCCGAAGCTATGTTGGCTGATCTAATTATCCTCAATTCATTAACAAGTTTCCCCTTATTTAATAATTAGAATATATAAATATGTATATAAAATATAAATATAATATGGTCTAATGTAAATAACTACCCTCTAATTCTCTAATCCTTAATTCCTAATTTTACAAATCTCTAATTTTTATAGATAAATTTATAAGATTATGTAAATATAAACTTATTTCATTAATCAAAATTTAGTCAATCAAAAATCAATAATCATTTCATCAGTTGGTTTCACCCCTCCAGAGTACTTTCCTCAGTTCAGTTATCTCGAAAGCCAAATTGCTATGTAATAGTTATTCTCCTCTCCTGCTCAATGGACTCTGATTGCTTCTGTTACATCAGCTACTGCCTCTTCCGTTCCTCTCTGTCACTGTCACTATGAAATACAAGTGGTTTAGAAGCTATCATCTGTTTCAACACAATCCAGCTTTTCCTTTTAAGTCTAAGTGTCTTTTAAAAGTCTCTAATCTTTTTTCGGCTTCTTTGTTCGTTCCGATTCACCAAGTTCCACTCTGGCAAATCCTCCGCTCCCTGTGGACTGCTCATACAGGTCCACTTACCGCTTTTTTCTTTGTTCGTTCCGATTCACCAAGCTCCACTCTGGCAAATCCTCCGCTCCCTGTGACTGCTCACTGCCCACTTACCACTTTTTATCGGAGCATCGATCTACTTTCTTCCTCTCTCTCCCTCCACTAATTATGAACCTTCTTTTAAAGCAGTCCCTGATCGTTGCTTGCGATCTCCACACCACCAAGACCAATTTAATTTAAAATTCTTTTTCCTTCTTTCAATTGGGCTGTTGTGAGGCCACCATTCAGAGATGGCAGCTGCTTATGCATTGAGCTCCAAGGGTATCTCTCGCTCTCTGCCACACTGCTCCTCAAGTTTCCCCACACCATCACAGATCTCTTTGGGATCTGTGTACCCCTCAGGAGTCCTCTCAATGCTAAGGAAAAGGTTAGAGAATGGAGCCCGTTCTTTGCCTCTCACCGTCACGATCAACTGAAGTTCCATTTTCTTTCTTTTTTTTAATGAACCTGCTAAGAAATAGTTTTGATTCTCTTTGGCCTTAAATATTACAAAACAGAAATAGTGAAAGTTGTATAGTCTCCATTTGTTCTTGAAACTTGGACAGATAACTCTGTTTTGTTTTATTATCAGGGCAAATTACTCTGATGGAAAACTGAAGAGTGTTCCAAAACCTTGTGCAGGAAACCAAGGAACTCAAATCACAGTAGGTTACTTCCTTTTTTAGTGTTTATAATTTTGGAGCAGCCACATTCCTGCCTTGTCCAGTGTCTTTACACTCCAGTGCTAACTTTATTTTAGTTTATCACAGCAGGAATGCATCATTGTAGACAGCTGGGAGTGGAGGATTTGCTGTGGTTAACCTCAAACATGTTTTTTGAAGCAGCTGTTATTGCTGAAAACACATGGAGGGGTAATAACAAGAATATCCCCTTTCAGTAACAAACCTTCTAAATTATAATATTGAAAAGAATGATGTGCAAATCCCTTATAGCATGGGCGTCAAACTTGCGTCATGTTAGTGCCCCATAACATGTTGTGATATTTTTTCCCTTCGTGGAGCTTGGGTAGATGTGGCCTGCCTGTGATAAACACAAAATGCCTACAGTTTTTTGTGGACTTTGTAATAGTGTCTTAACCGAAAGTGACACGCTCTCTCTTCTCTCTCCCCTCATGTATGTATGCATATACACATATTGTTATCTGTGACAGTGTTGTCACCCTAAAAATCTTAGTGCAAACACTGCAGGCCAGTGATATTGGAGGATCCAATATGAGAGAATGTTAAAATTCAATTTATTTCATTAACTGCTGTTTTACTCAGATTGTTCCCATAATTCAAGATATGCTTTATGAATAATAGTGAGATTTTATAATAAGTGCAAATCTGATATAGGATAATAGTTGCAATAGTAGCAAACAAAATATGGAAAATGATGTAATATATTTTAATATTGAACTCCCAACCATATGATGTAAGATAACTGTAAACAGAAATAAGTTGTAGGGAGTTTCTGGAAGAGTTTCTTGTAGAGAGTTTCTGGAAGAAATCTCAGGAATGTAATAATATTTGCTAGTAATTTTGAAGAAAGGTACATAGATCCTTATTGAGTATACTAAAATATTTAATTATGGAAACAAATGAGATTGTATAACATTGTAGCCAAAATTGATTATGCTAAATATTGAAAAGTAATAACTTAATCAGAAATTGAATAGGAAAACATGGTATAAGTGTATAATGATAGATACTTTAATCCATTATTTTTTATGAGAGGCAATGCTAAATATAATTCGGGTTAAACTTGTCAACTATTATTGGGAAAAAAATCTGTTTTTTATTACACCATAACCAGAAACTTTTTCAATTAGGTTATATTATCTTATATTCATAGTGTATTGCAATTGATATTTGTATTAATGTAAAAGTCTCATGTAAAAGCAGAGGCTGAATTTAAATACAGTGATATGCTGCTTCATGACATTCAAATAATATTTTTCTAGACCTTGCAGGGAGAGACAATATTGTGGGTCCTAGAAAACATTGAGACAAATAGAGCAGGATTAAGTGGAGCAAGACAAACTATGTGAATACTCTATGTGATTGGCAAAATTTTCTTTTTTTATGCTTCACAATAAAATACTATTCTTGTAACCTTACTTTGGTTTTTGAATTTTTTGTTTGTTTGTATTAAACTCTGTTGTTTCCCTCGATAGGTTGAAGATCTATTTTACAATGTAGCCACCAGGAGAAAAGCTTTTAAAAATCCTTGTGAAGAATATGCAAAAATACTGGACGTTGTCAGCAGGTGATCTACTTAAAAGGAGAGTTGCTTTTTGTTAGATTGGAACATTCTTCTCCTTTTAGCCAAGAATTATATATTTGATAAATTAAAAAGCCATGTAGCAATAGAGATAACAATTGGATCATAGATTTGAGAAGATATTCTCATAATCGTTGAGGAAAACTCAGGAACAATTGATACAAATATTTGAAAGTAACTGTAAAAGCGCTAACACTAATTGGCCTAGTGAATTTATTCTATTCTCATGGTTGTAAAGCCAACAAAGGCTGTGCCAAATGATAATAGAACTTTCATTCCGAGACATATAGTTGATTACAAGTCATTTAATATTCCTCAGAATGTGCACATTAAATTTTTTAATTATTTATACATTTTCTCTTTACATACATAAATGTTTTGTGAACAGTGTGTTGTCTGGGTTAACTTGCTTATATAATACTATTTTTCCAGTTCCTAGTTTCTACCTCTGTTGTCTAGCCATTTGTAAAACAAGACCCATGTTCAAAAATAGTCTTTGTCTTCTTTTTTTTTTTAATCTTCAGTGTCAGTCTGTCCATTTCTCCACAGTTCTTCATTTTTCCAGTGCTGTGCAAATACAATTCTTGCTCCTGTCAAGACATGTAATATTAAATATACATTCTCTTTCTCATATTTTTCTGGCATTATGCTTAACAAAAATAATTCTGGCTTATACTCTATATGCTGTTTTAACATTTTTTCTAACCATGTGTGCATTTTCATCCAAACTTGTGTTGCTTTTGGACATGTCCACCACATGTATCATGTGCCCGGTCTTTGATTACATTTTCAACATTTGCCGGATCTGTTTTTAAACATCTTTGCTAACCTCACCAGCGGTTAGAATATTTTGCACAAGTTTTTCTTATAAGTAGTTGCCATTGTCAATTTGTAGTCTCTTTCCCAGATCTTTTGCCAATTATCCAATCCTATTGTATATCCAACATTTTTTGCCCATACTATCATTTTCTCTTTTACCTGCTCATCTTCCATTTTTAAACTTAATAAGAAGTTATATATTTTATTAGCTTTTCATCTGTGGCTAACGTTATTTGCTCTTTATAAAAGTTATAAGTCTTAAATCTTTCTCATACCTTGTTTGCATTTGCATACGTGGCCACCATGACAAATCAACACCTTGATTCTGTAGTTCTCATTTGGTTTTAAGTTCCCCATCTTCATTCAAAATATCTATATATTAATTTTTTTTCAGGTTTACTAAATTTGGGTGAATAAATGCTTCCATTGTTGAAAGTCAACCTGCTATTTTCATATAAATTTTTGCTTTCAGCTTTTCACCCTAAAAGTGGAGCATTCCTTATATAATGTATGAAAATATCTGTGAATCTTGTTTTTATCATACTATAGAAAAGCATGCTAACTGGAGATCATGACCTTCCAAAACAATAATCTTCTATGTTAGAGTTATCCATTCTTTCATTCACATTAATGCAGAAGCTTGGTAGTAAAGCTCCCAATCTGGTAGCCCCAAACCCCCATTATTCTTAGAATCTTACAACATTCTCAATCTTATTCTAGCTTTTTTCCCTTGCCAAATAAAATTCAAAATTATTGTGCTGGCTCATCAAAGTATTTTTCTTTCTACTTTTATAGGGATTGTTTGAAACAAAAAAAGTAATTTCAGCAAAATATTCATTTTTATAGTTGCTATTCTTGTTACCTAGAGATGAAATTGACAACATACATTGGATCATGGAGAAAGCTAGGGAGTTACCAGAAAAACATCTGCTTCATTGACTATGCTAAAAGCCTTTGTAATGTGGATCATGACAAAGAGATGGGAATGCCAGACCATCTTATTTGTCTCTTGAGAAATCTATATGCAGGTCAAGAAGCAACAGTGAGAACTGGACATGGAACCATTGATTGGTTCAAAATTGGGAAAGGAATCCGGCAAGGCTGTATACTGTCACCCTGTCTATTTAACTTATATGCAGAGCACATCATGAGAAAGGTGGGGCTAGATGAATCACAAGTTGGAAATAAGATTGCTGGGAAATATCAACAACCTCAGATGCGGAGATGACACCACTCTAATGGCAGAAAGTGAAGAGGAACTAAAGAGCCTCTTGACGCAGATAAAGAAGGAGAATGCAAAAGTTGCCTTGAAACTCAACATTAAGAAAACTAAGATTATGGCATCCAGCCCTCTCAATTCCTAGCAAATAGATGGGGAGGAAATGGAGATAGTGACAGGTTTTATTTTCCTGGGCTCCAAGATCACCATGGATGAGGACTACAGCCAAGAAATTAAAAGATGCTCCTGAGAAGGAAAGCTATGGCAAACCTAGATAACATACTAAAAAGCAGAGATCATCCTGCCAACAAAAGTGTATATAGTCAAGATTATGGTTTTTCCTAGTTGCAATGTACGGCTGTGAAAGTTGGACTATAAGGAAGACTGAGCGCCAAAGAGTTGAGGTCTTTGAACTTTGGTGCTGGAGAAGATTCCTGGGAGCCCCTTGAACTGCAAGACAATCAAATCAGCCAGTCATGGAGGAGATCAATCTTGACTGTTCTTTAGAAGGTTAGATTCTGAAGATGAAACTCAAATACTTTGGCCACCTAATGAGAAGGAAGGATTCAGAGCCTTAATGCTGGGAATGATTGAGGACAAAAGAAGAAGGGGACGGTAGAGAATGAGTTGGCTGGATGGAGTCACTGAAGCAGTCTGCGTGAGCTTAAATGGACTCTGGGGGATTGATACAGGACTGGAAGGCCTGGAGGAACGTTGTCCATGGGGTCGTGATGGGTCAGACATGACTTTGCAACGATCAACAACAATTCTTCCTGCCATTGATAATTGCAAATTTTTCCATTTCTCCAAATCCAGTTTAATTTGTTGCAGTAGTCTTATATAGTTATCTTCTTTGATTGTTCCACATCTTGCTGTTAAATATATTCCCAAGTATTTTACTTTCTTAACTATCTGAAGGTCTATCTTCTTTGTCAATTCAGTTTTCTGTTTATCTGTAAGGTTTTTAACTATTATTTCAGTTTTTTCATTGTTTATTTTCAATCCTGCTACTTCTCCATATTGTATTCTTTTCATTAACAGGACCAGTTTCCAATGATTCTTCTAAGATAATACCAATTCATCCGCAAATGCTTGTAATTTATATTTTTCCCTTCTTATTTCCATGCCTTTTATTTCTGGATCTTGTCTAATATTCCTGTTTAACACATCCAATGTTAATATGAATAGTAATGGGGACAATGGCAGGGTGGATTTGATTTAAATCATTATTTAAATCACTAGTAAAAAGCCATGATTTAAATCAATTTTAATCGTAATTTTAAAAGAGCAACTGTCATCTCTGTCCCACAGCAGTTCCTCCTCTGACCTGCTGTTGCCTCAGTGACAGTTCCATTCACTTTAATGGGACAGCTGGTGAGCGGATGCCCACTAACAGACACTGCCATGATGGATCTAAACAGGTGACAGGCGCTCTTTAAATATAAGGCCTCATTCTTGCTGGTAGTTAGAATCTTTAATATTATTATTTACAGACAAAATAAGGTTTGCTATTTAGCTTGCAGAGCTTGAATGAGTTGTAAATTTTTGTGGAATATACAGCCTCATGCTATATAACTAAGCTCCATTTCATGCTGAATAAACTAAATGTATCTTAAATAGAAAACTATAGATAGATTTTTACTTCAAAAGCATTTTATTAAAATAAATTTGATAAAAATAAAAATCCAATTTAAATTTAAAAAATCCAATTTAAAATTCAAAAATCTAATATTTTGATTTTTTTGAAAAAATCATTTTTATCCACACTGATACTCTGTTACAATTTGGTTTTAAACTTATATAAACTCCAATATTAAATCTATCTTTTAAAAAAGATAGTTTAAAGTCAACCATTTTTATAATCCAACTTTTTCTTTCAATGTCTTGTCCAGATGTGTGTATAATGTTTCACTTTTCTTCTCTCACTTCTCCGATTATTCGATCAAACGATGATTGTAATCCAGAATGGCTCTCCAAACTCCCCAATATCAGTCCAAAAAACCAATGAAAATACCAAAAAATCAAAACAAAAACCAATTCACTCAGTAACTAAACAGTTCCACAAATCCAACAATATTTATAATCCACAAGATTGAACGAGCTTCAAAACATGCCTCCTGTCCCCAACAAAAAATTAAATGGCATTGTGGTGTTATCTCTCCTATTTATCTATTTCAATTTTATTTGTCTTCCCTCCCTCTCCCCTGCTCCCCCCCCCCCGTTCACTTCAATCTGTGTAATAACTTTTTTTCACCAGTAGATGTCGTTCCAGCTTTATCTTCGAGCTTTTAAGGCTAAAGCTAAACTTTACTTGTCAAATAGTTCACTTAAAAAGAAAGTCATTCCAAGTATTCAAAAGTATTTTCAATATTTTAGGTTACTTTCTAAGTTATAGTATTCCAATCCAATCTTTTTATATAATATTTAATATTCTTCCATTTAGAATTCTGTTTCTTTTCTGGATCTGTTGTTTGTCTCTTTAAGTGTTAACTCTACAGTCCTTTTAGAGGTGGGAATAAAAATCCCTACCTCTAGCCTTAAAAGAGTTCCTTAGTTTCAAAAATATCTTTATTTCGAGAATAAATCTCCCAAGGTAGAGAATGGAAAAGTCTCACCCACTCGCTGTCCACGGATCAACTAGTTCGTGCTTTCTCTTTTGGTTGTCATAGGCTTCGATTGGACCAGTATGGCTGGCCCTTCCTGTGTCAGTCTAGAGGGTGCCCTCAGATCTAGTGAGAAGACTGATGTCTTCTCGTGATTGACAAGGGATCCCTCCTTTTTCTGCCACACCGTCAAGAGTGACTTTGGCCCCTAAGGGCTCCCAGGTGAAGAGAAATCATCTAGGCTTAGCGGTGCCCTGCTTTTTCCTGGCTGTCTCACCATGATGTCATCCGGAAGTCATTAAACATTCCTCAGAATGTGCTTATTTAATTTTAGAACTTATCATTTAGCAGCTCTTAATATATAATGAAACTTAAACGTGTCCTGATGTTATCATGTTAAAAAAATTGTTCCACTTCATTATTGTTGCTTTGCAGGCAGTGAAATACAATATTTGATGCCATGATGCCTGCTTACTTTTATCATATATTACTATGGGGAAAAGATACAGTATACATGATACAGTATACAAGATACAGTATACAGTCCTATTCCATTCTGTGACAGCCATGTGCCTTCCATCCACCTTTTATGGATTAGGCCTAACTCATATTCAGTTTGATATATCAATATCAGTTTACACATGCTTCAATAATAGTTTTTTCAATGTCTGTCTGGTTATCTACATTTGTTTTTCTTTTTATATATTCTACACACTAGGTATGCTATTCACAATTCTGGCATCAGTTTTTCTGTTAAAAAGGTATTTTTTTTAATTTTTCTTCAATATTTTTAAAATAGTATTATATTTGAATGTTTAATAATTAAGAAACCTCTAGGGAGTAAATGTTTAGATCAAGCTCATTTTAAAAAGTATAAGAGATTATTTTTGTTTTCAGAGTCTTTAAATTATTAACAATTATTTCAAGTAACTGTTTATTAAGGTTCCTTAAATCTACATTCTAATAAATATATATGTAGGAAGAAAATCTAAATCTAAATAGATGATTCTAGAAGTGTGCATGTGGATGTTATATTCTAATAGTTTGCATATGGATGTTATGTTAATCTTCTTGAGCTGGGTTCTTTTTTTTTTTTTTTGTATACATAAAGTCCTTGACAACCAGTCAACGTCCTCCATATCTCCTGTACTAATTACGTTGTCTAGTATAACAAACATTTGCAATCCCCAAAACTAGCTCCAACAACACATTATACCCAGTAGTGGATTCCAATTTTTTTCCTACTGGTTTTATGAGAGCTTGCTTCGCATGCAGCACTCAAAAACCACCCTCTGTGTCAGTGCTGGTGAGGTGAGCTGTTTTTTAGCTCAGCTGAGGCGCGGCAATTCATTCTGCCGCACGAATCAGCTGAGTTAAAAGACAAGGGAATATAGGAGAGGAAATGGTGGAGGTGGGTAGGGCCAGCCAGAGGTAGTATTTGCTGGTTCTCTGAACTACTCAAAATTTCCACTACTGGTACGCCAGGACTGGTCTGAACCAACTGAATACCACCTCTGATTATACTGACATATGACCGCAACATATTGTATAATATTGATTATAGAAACAAACTTAATATTCTAGTACTAACTACAGATTTGTGTCCATTTGTTTAATGATGGTCTAAAATCATGATGCCCTCAGCAAGGGTACTTTATGGCCTGTAAGGCACTTCTGACCATCACAAAATATTGCACCACCACCTGTGTGTTCATGTATTGCGACTTGGGTGCTTGGCAATTTATTGGCAGTTACAATCAGTTGCTAAGAGCCCTGTGAACTATTTACAATTTTTGTCAGCTTCCCCAGAAAGTAAATGGGGGAGACTGCCAAGGAATATTGCAAGTTGCTGCTGCCTGCTAAAACAACACCCTCTTGTGTCTGGGGATTGGCTGAAAGAGTGGAACTGAGCTACTTTGGTAGGTGCAGAAAAGGAGCTCATATCCCAAAGGTCCTTCAGCCCACCAAAACAGTTCCCTTCCACACATAGAAAGGAGTTGAATTTGGCAGGCACTTCTTTCTCTGCATCTGCTTAATGATCCGGGAGATCATTTAACGATTGAAACCAAGAATGCTAGGATTGCAGCCACTGAGCAAAACAGTTGTGTGGGTGTCTTGCTTAATGATGTGTTGTTCAGCAACTAATATTCCAGTCTCAGTTGTGGCCATAAGTTGAGTTACCTGTAGATATAAAGTATAGGTAATCCCCAGGTTACGAGCGTTCCCTTAGCAAACATTCAAAGTTCTAGGCCTCCTTTTTCACCATGAACTGTATGAGGATGGCTTTGTTGATGAAAAAGAAGGCCCAGAGGGCTGCATGCACCATTCCAGGCCTCCTTCCTCACCACCAAACTGCTTGAGGACAGCTTTACCAACAAAAAAGGTGCGGAGGACCGCACGCACCATTTTGGGCCTCCTTTCCTATCCCCAAATTGCTTGAGGAAGGCTTCAGTGATGAAAAAGGAGGTGTGAAGGGCCACACGTTCCATTCCTGACCTCCTTTTTCGCCACCAAACTGCTTGAGGAAGGCTTTGGCGATAAAATAGGGAGCAGGCAAAGAAACAGGCTGTAGAGAAGACAGATCTTCATCAGGTAAATTACTTGGTGTGGCAAGATTGGGGGGACACACCGATTGTGGGGATCCCAGGAGAGGGAGAATGAGATATCTGTGGTTGAGGGAGGCTTTGATGGTCTGAAGCAGATGACCTGTTCCATCACTAGGCCCCCTCATGGCTTTCCCCACCCCAAGATACCTTACGTGCACTTAATGAGCCACATATTCGATTAGCAAATGCATGGGTGAAAGGAAGGAGTGATCACGTTCAAGGTACAAGATTCACTCCCACAAATCCTCAGGTTACGAATGGAATGGGCAGGCTCTATTACATTTGTAATTCTACGACATCTGTATTCATTGAAGCATACAGAGGCACAGCTGTTTAATAATTAGATTGGATATTCCAGCCAGGTAGGTTACAAAGGAAAATATTGTAAATATCAATTTCTTTTATCACCAAAATAATTCAGAAAAAAATCATTATGTTTTCTGACAAAAATCATGTATTAAGAAGCAGGCACAACACTGTCAAGTCTACAATAGAAATGCTGTGGAGCTGACTAACTTTAGTCCTTATGTTAAGAATGGGGACTTCTGCAGGAATTGCATAGCTCAGGTACCATAACCAGATGTACAAAAATCTATTGATTGGCCCTCTTCATTGGCCCAAGAAGAAACCTGCTGGTACCTGTGACCAGATTATTTAATGTTCTAGTTCAGTGATGGCCAATCTTTTCAGCACCAAGTGCCCAAAGCGTGTGCATGCGCATCCACAAATACAATATGTATGCATCCCCTGCGCATGCATCCCGGCCCCACACGTGTGCGCGTTCCTGTGCACGTGCCCCCTCCCGAGCACGCACGGCAGGACCTGAACATCTGCTGGCTGGCAGGAGGCACATGCACAACAGAACTGAGCTGGGGTGACAATTCACGTACCCACAGAGTTTTGTGTGCCACCTCTGGCACACGTGCCATAGGTTCGCCATCACGGTTCTAGTTGAAAGCAGCTCAGACACCACTGAGGTGATTTTTATCTTTTATTGGTTTTGGTTTTTAACAGATGAGATCTTATATAAAAAGAGAAAGGGAAAAGTAATGTTAAAGCAGAGGTCGGGTGAAAAGAGAGAAGATTCCAGAGAAAGGGACTTAAATGAGCAAATCAGTGGTACAAGTTTCTGCCTTTTTAATTGATTGTTTTCAGACAGAGTAGCATCCACTGCCAGGTTTCTCTCCTGGTTTTCAGTAACAATGTACAGGTAATCCTTGACTTATGACCACAGTTGAGCCCAAAATTTCCAATGCTAAATAAGACAGTTGTTAACTGAATTTTGCCCCACTTTATGACCTTTCTTGCCACATTTATCAAGGAATTCAAGTTGATAATTAATAACATGGTTATTAAGTGAATCTGGCTTTCCCATTGACTTTGCTTATCAGAAAGTTACAAAAGATGAACCATAAATACATTCCAGTTGTCAAGTCCCCGAATTTTGATCACATGACCATGGAGGTACTGCAAAATTGTAATTGTGAAAAAATGTCATAACTCATGTTTTCAGCGCCATTGCAACTTTGAATGGTCACTAAATGAATGATTGTAAGTCTGGAACTACTTATACTTTATTCTGGTCCCTGCCTTATGCCCTTATTTTGTTCAATATTACCAAGTATCAGAGGCTAAGGGAGAAAGCCACTGATACAAGGTTGTGGGGAAGGGAAAAAGAAGGCGTCAAGTCCTCTATCTTGTGGGAGAGTGAACTTACATCTAAAAAGGGTTTTATAAATATTGCAATCCAGCTCATATTATTAGAAGCAAAAAACTACATCCACTAATTTCCAAAAGTGTGACAGAAAGAGATGCATTAAGTGTTTTGAGTAGCATGTGTATATGGTTGACATTTAAAAGCAGATGCTGTTCAGAATTCTTTTGCTGTCACCTTAATCTTTCTTTAATTTAAACAAAGCTCAAGGAGATATATTTCCAGGCTGATCTGTTAACATGTTACATGAAAGATAGTTAATTTTCTTATACTTATTATAAAACATTTATAAAAAGATACACTGAAAGTTGGTTCTCCAGAGTCAAGAATAATGATGACGTTGCTTTGATAAGATTAGGAATGAAAGAAAAAAATTAAGTTTTCACACGAGATCATACGAGCTGTTTTGTTTTAGAGCAGGGACCTTAAATCTTGCCATCTTAGAAAAGGGGATTTTAGAAGCAAAATGCTTATAAAAGATGCACAAAATCCCAGGAAAATTCTGTGAATTTTTATTCATCTACTTTTTTCATATGTATTAAAAGCATTGGTAATTGCATGCTATCTTCTCTTTGTAGCAAGGTGATACAGTTGCAGATGTAAGAACACTGTCAAGTAATACAGCTATCGACAATATTCGGTCTGTCTTTGGAAATGCTGTTAGCAGGTATAGTTAAAATGTGATGTATCTTATAATCTAATTATGAGTATTACTATGCCCATAATTTTAGTGTAGTATGATTCACATGCTATAATAAATGGAAAGTAGGTTCAAGACATCTTCAGCCTTAAAAATTCACTGAAGGATTTTGCATAGGCATTAGTTGTTAACATACGGTATCTCAAGGTTGCTATTATGAGAAAATTTGGAGGAAGAATGCTTTATATGCCACAAGAATTCCTGGAGGAATGGTACATAAATTCTACCACTTAAAATAAACATCCCAGCTAAAAATGTTGAAAAGTGTCAATTTATGGAAAATACAATAGATAAGCATTCAAAGATTTTGTTGGAAAAAATGGAAAGTACTGAGTATGCCATCTCAGTTCCTGGAGACATGAGATATAATTCACTTTAAAAAAAAATAGGTTTATTACATGGAATTATTGAGGTAGCTAAAGATGATCTCTTCTGTTGTGTCTCTTTTCTTGAGAGAGCTATTGGGTTGTGCTGAAAGGACTGATTAGACTAAAAAAATCAGGCAGGTGTGCCTTTCATGAATGGTTGTATCTATTTCAAACAAAACATCCTTAACTAAGTTTTCAGTTCTTTGAGATCTTCCCTTATAGTAATAGGAAGAATCTTTCCCATAATCAAAACAGATAATACAGAAAGAGAAGGGTTATTATTTTTTCTTGTAGAATTTTTCTTAGCTATATCATAGAGATCAGAGAGAGATTGTTCTTCGGTATAGAAATGGTAATTATAGTTTTGGACTGAACAGTTACTGTTTCTGTTAAGCTAGCAGAAGTAGGCTTACATGATCATGAAGTGCTTTCCAAGATGGCAGCAATGGAGGAAGTTACATTGTGGGGAGAAAAATTGCTATTAAACTAGGTAGGAGAAGAGGTGGAGAGGGAAAGATAACTAATAGAAAAAGGAAAAAAAGACTGGAAAAAGGAAAGAGGAAGATTAGAGAAATTAGTTGGCTGAGGTAGCTAAAGATGATCTCTTCTGTTGTGTCTCTTTTCTGAAGAGAGCTATTGGGTTGTGCTGAAAGGGGTAATTTCTGAAGAAATTGGGAGAGAGAGAAGCCCAGCTGCACCCAAGAGGCCTGAGAAGCCCAGCTCATCCAGGAGGCCTACCCAAGAGACTAAGTTAAATGAATAATAAACAAGCACAAAAAGGCAGAAAAAAAGATAGAAAAAAAGAGAAAGAAACATAATTTTTTTACCCCCAAAAGAACCAGCAAAAAGAAACTCATGGAACAGGTGACTGATACTATTCCATGTATGTGCTTTATGACCAAAGAATACCCAAATTATACAGGGATGGGCTGCACCTCACGAAATCAAGGAAAAATATACTCAGAAAAAGATTGGTCCAACTAATCAGAAGGGCTTTTTAAAATTGAAGGGTGAGGTTGACCAATCTTTAAAATCTCTGGAACACAAAACCAATCATAAATCCCAAGAAAATAAATAATAAGGTAGATAGTGATGAGAAAAAAGAAAAACTCAACAACTAGGAGATGCAGGAAACGTATCCAAGGAGAGGTATAAAAGTCTTAAATGCTTATATACACATGCTCAAAGCTTGGGAAACAAACAGGATAAACTAGAAGCAATAGTACACAAAGGCAGTTATGACATAGCCATTACAGAAACCTGGTGGGATGAAACCCATGACTGAAATGGACTTGAATCAATACAAATTGCTCAAGAGAAACATTTTTTAAAAAGGAAGTGGAGTTGCACTATATGTAAGAGATCACTCACTACATACTACAGAAATGCACACAATCAAAGATAAAATATGGGTCAATATAAAAGGGGGGGAAAAGTGACATTGCCATAGGTGTATATTACAGGCCGCCCAACCAATCAGAAGAAATAGATGAAATCTTTGCCAACCAATTAACAAATGTATGGAGGAAGCATACCACAATAGTAGTGGGAGACTATCCAGATATCAACTGGGAGACTAATTTCTAATCTAGCCGATAATTTTGTCATCCAAAAGGTAGAGGAGGAACTAGAAGTAAAGCTATACTGGATCTAATTCTTACTAATAGAGAAAAAGTGATTGAGGAAGTTGAAGCTGAAGTTGAACCTTGGATGAAAGTGACCACATCATACTGGAGTTCAATATAATGCAAACACAAGCAATAGAAAATAATTCAAACAGTGTCTTAAACTTTAAAAGAGGGTTTTTTTTAACAAACTCAGAGCCTAGGAAAGATTCCATGGATGAAAATCCTAAAGGGAAAAACAAGTCAAGAAACGTGGGAAACTGAAAAGTCTAGCCCAGCACAATACCACTCAAAACAAAACAAAACAAGAAATCAAAGAAGAAACTAGCAAGGCTGCCCAAACTGAAAGACAAAAAGGACAAGTGCAAAAATGGAAAGAGGGACACTTAACTAAGGCTGATTATCAGCAGATAGCCAGAACATTGCAAAGATGAAGTCAGGAAAGCAAAGGCTCAGAATGAACAAAGATGTGCAACAAAAGTAAAAGATAATAAAGATTTTTTCCAATGTATTAATAACAAAAAAGTCAAGGAAACAGTAGGTCCACTAAAGAGAGAAGATGGCAAAGAAGTAACAGGCAGTAGAGAAAAAGCAGAGCTGCTTAACATTCTTTACATCAGTCTTCAAGCAAAAAGTTTATAGCCCAATGCATCAAAAAAAAAACAACATTACTACTGTAAAAGACAATCTAGAAAGAAAAATTAAAATAAGCAAGAAAATAATAAGGGAATACCTATCTGACCTTGACAAATATAAATCACCAGGACCTCACAGATTACACCCCAGAATTCTGAAGGAGCTGGCAGATGTTTTTTCAAAACTATTGTACCATATCTTTCAAAAAACCTGGAGCACCAGGAATTACCTGAGGATTAGATAAGGGCTGGTGTGGTTTCCATCTTCAAGAAAGGGCGGTGGGGAGGGGAACAGACCCAGGAAACTACAGATCAAGCAGTTTAACATCAATACCTGGGAAGATTCTAGAAAAGATAATAAAAAAGAGATCTGCGAACAACTAGAAGCAAATTAAGTTATAACTAGTAGCCAGTACAAGTTTGTTAAGAACAGATCATTCCAAACAATCATTTCATTCTTTGATAAAGTCACTAAATTAGTAGACCAATGAAATGCTGTGGACATAGTATACATAGATTTCAGTAAGGATTTGACAAAGTAGACGACAACGTACTTCTGGGTTAGCTAGAGAAATGTGGAATAGACACCATCATTACCAGATGGATTTGTAACTGGCTGACCAACCATACTCAATTAGTAGTTCTTAATGTTATTACATCCACATGGACAGAAGTAGAGGAATACCACAAGGCTCTGTTTTGGGCCCAGTACTCTTCAATATCTTCATAAATGACTTAGATGAGGGAATGGAAGGGTAACTCATTGAATTTGCAGATGACACTAAACTGGCAGGAATAGCCAGCACCCCAGAAGACAAGTTCTGGATATAAAAATATATTGACAGACTTGAACAATGGGCCCTATCCAGTTTCATTTCAATGTGAAGAAAAGCAGTTTTACATTTAGGCAGGAAAAAAATCAAAGATATACGTATATATTAGGTGAGACCTGGCTCAAAAACAGTAACTGTGAGAGGGACCTTGGAGTCCTAGTGGAGGATCACTTGAATGTCACTTGAACCTGCAGTGTGCAGCTGCTGCAAAAAAACTAATACAATTCTGGATTGTATAAACCGGCATAGAATCAAGATCATGTGAAGTACTAGTACATCTTTATAAAACCTTAGTAAAACCACACCTGGAATACTCCAAACGATTTTGGCCACCATACTACAAAAAAGATGTTAAGACTTTGGAAAAAGTTCCGAAAAGAGTAAGATGATCAAAGGCCTGGAGACAAAAACATGAAGAATGACTACAGGGTTTGGGTTTGGCTAGTCTAAAGAAAAGAAGAATTGGGGTGACATGATAACAGTATTCCAGTATTTGAGGAGTTGCCACAAAGAAGAGGGGGTAAAATTATTCTTCAAAACACCAGAGGGCAGGACAAGAAATAATGGTTGTAAACTAACCAAAGAGAGAAGCAAGTTGTAATTAAGGAGAAACTTCCTAACAGTGAGGACAATTAACCAGTGGAACAGCTTGCCTCCAGAAATCGTGGGTGTTCCATCACTGGATGGTTTTAAGAAGAGTCTAGACAGTCACTTATTTAAAATGGTGTAAGTTCTCCTGCTTGAGCAGGGAACTAGACTAGAAGACCTTCCAGTTTATTCTATTCTATTTGATCATTGAGGGTTTTTTGCATTGCTTAATCTGCTCCCATTTTTCTCTTGATAAATCTGCTCACTTTTGATTTGTGAAAGAACATAGCTTAAAGATATAAATGCTTACAACAAATTTTAAATAACTTTTTGGATGCATATTAACTATCTTTTAAAATTAAAATAGCAGGTGTTAATACACAGGGAGCCAATTTGGTTTAATGGTTAAGGCACCAGGTAATAAACAGGAGACTGAGTTTTAGATCTTCCTTTGGCATGGAAGCCGGCTGGGTGACTTTGGGCCAGATACTTTCTTTTATCCCACCCCACCCCACAGGGTTGTTTTGTGGGGAAAACAGGAGGAAGGACTATTTTGAATGCTCACCACCTTGAGTTATTTATAAAAATAATAAAAGTGAGATATAAATAGATAAATAATAGTTGGGCAAGGCTTGAATAAGATTCCTTGCATCTATTGATGTTCTGATATTCATTAGTTTAGACTAGTGTAGTTTAGATCTTATTATCATCTAAACCTGAGACCAGAATCATAGTGTCTCTGCACAAATGTATCACCAGGCAATCATTTTAGGGTTTGCCAACACCTCCTAGGTTTGTAAAATATTTATTTTTAAAGTTTTTTTTAAAAAAGCTTTATCAACTAAAAAGCAGCGGCCTAGATTCCCTGCTTTCATCCCTTCCCCTTTTCCTTTTCCACATAAAAAATGATGCGGCTGCTTAAGACCAACCAAACTAGCAAATTTGTGTTTAAGATTAAACAAATTAGTTTTAGTTTAATTTATTTAAGGGCCATATGAAATGGATTGGCTTTTTAAAAAAGCATTACTTGAAATAAATGGATTCAAGATAACATTATTTAGCACTTCTCCCAAATCTATCTATCTATCTATGAATGCGAAATGCCACTCACACATCATCACAAATTCTCCAGAACCGTGAAGCCTACAAACTTGAAATTTGGCATGTATGTTTCTCTTGGCTTCTAAGTGCTCACTAAGAAGGGATTTTTCAAAATGACCATCAGAGTATTAGTATTTCATATATTATTAACATGCTCTGATGCTAAGGAATACTCCTCCCTACCTGAAAAGAAATCTGTTCCAAATGCAAAACTCAAGCAGAGGAGTGGAGTTTCAGTTTTAGTTTCACAGCACCAAGCAACTTTAGTAGAGAACGGTTGACCTAAGCCACGCCCAGACTCCTTGCTGTTACCTTCTTGCTCGCACAGCAAATACTGTTTACTTTCCAAATAGCCCTCAACTCTCTCACACACTGACAGGATGCTACCCAGATGAATATCGATGGATGCTGGTAGGCAGAGACAGAATTTTCCCCCCTTATTTTCCTCCCCCAAAATTAAGCCTGACCACATAGTTTCGTAGCGAAGCATGGGTATCGAGCTAGTCATAATATATACATGTTTAATAGTGCACAAAAGGGTTAGAACACTTTGAGATAGCTGATTTATAGTAATTATCTTGTTAACTGATTTTTGAGCATGATTGGAGTAACTTATTTTTCTTCATAGATAAAATGAATGGACTCTTCTAAAATAATTATTTCTTGGTTTTTTTTGCATATGCAAAAGTGTAAAGGGAAGGGCACTTTGGAGTTTATGAAAGGCTAGTTCATGATTATCTAGTTATAGTTTAAGTGGGCAGTGTGCTTCTAAAAACAATTTAAGGCGGTTCCCTAAAATTGTACATTACAAACAAAATTTCTACAGGAGGTATGAAAATAACTATAAGAATATCTGAACATAGTTTTATTTTATGAGTAAAGAACTTCGACTAATTTTTACAGTGACTTTAATTACTGTTGTATCTAAAACTTAATTACTGATTAGTAGTAGTAATAATCATTAAAGATATACTGTAGAACAAGGGTTTCAACTCAAGGCCCATGGCCTGGATCTGGCCCACGATGTGTTCAGATCTGGTCCCTGTGGCTATCTTGGAAATTATAGGGGGATGGCCACATCACTTCGACCCAGCACATGCCATCCTGGTATGCGCGGTGCACACAGGAGGAAGCGGGTACACATGTGCACAAGCCCTGCCCACCGCATCCCCGGCATGCATGTGTGTGTGCACAGGAGTGACGGGCCAGCGTTGCCTCGTCCCATCACTTGCCCCTCAGCTGCCACTGCCACCACCTCTTATGGATCAGGGGGACCCAGCTGCCACTGCCACCATCAGTGGCCTGTTCCCCAAGAGACAACGATCCTGCAGGCTTCCCCCTCCTCACCAGCCCCACCATTACAGCCCTCCACCTGAGTGCCAGCCCACTCCTCTGGCCGCTGCCCCATGATCCTCTTGCTCTCCCATCTGCTCTGCATCCAGCAGCAGTTACAGCCCCCCGCTCGGAGAGGGTGAGCTGGGTGGAGAGTCCTGATGCTGTGGCTGGAGTAGCCATTCTTGGCCTGGCCAGAGAATGAGGGGCAGGTGAGCTTCATGGTGGCTGCACTCTCCCCCTCCATTCTCCCTTTCCCAATGGGAGCTCCAGGCTCTGCATCCCTTGCCCTCTGGAGCTGCATAGATCCTGCCTTCCCATGCTCCCAACAACCCCGTGAGGCAGGCCAACCTCCGCTGGGTCTCTTCCATGGAAATCTTCCTTGACAAGCCTGGAGGAGGTGATGAAGGGGGCAGCAGCAGAGACTAAACCCAGCGAGCCTTCACCGCTCCATAAAGAGGCGCCATGCCTGGATGGGTACACTTTGGCTCCATAGGGCCACCCTGTAAGTGGCAGAGTGGCTCGGAGATCATGGGGCAAGTCGGCAGGCTGTTGCCCAAACTGATGCTCGAGGCTCAAAAGCTCACTTCCCTCGAAAGGACCTCTTCCTCCAGCCTTAGGATGGCGCCTCTTTCTATCCTGCCATCTGCTGCGCTTTAGGGAAGCCTGGCCAGGTGCCACATGTTGGGTCTGGTAGTGGGCAGGGAAGCACAGCACCCTCTCCCTCTTCCTGCTAGGCTTGCTGTCAAAGCACCACTCATGTGCTGTTGTGGTTCGTTGACAGCCAGTGAAGATGGCAGTCGAGTCAGATGAGTCAAAGGAAATGAAGGGGGTGCTTGGGTTTCCATTGGAGCCAGCAGAGGTCTTTGAGGAACAGAAGGTCTCAGAGCCAGATGCAGAGCAGGGCCCATCTACTCATGCTCAAGCAGAGAGACAGTTGTTTTGGGGGCCAGAGATGAGAAAGGGGGAAGAACTATCCCAGATGTGCATATGTGCAAAGAGGTGTGGAGAGTAGAACAATGCAGGACTGAGGACCAGCTATCTAGGAAAAGGAGACGTTAATAAGATCCTCCCTAGCTGGGATATAAGGAGGTGGGGTGTGGGAGGCGTGGTTGTCAGAGACATCCATTCATGCTCCAGAATAGTTTCCTCTGGTGATTCCTTGCCAGAATTTCCTTGCCACTAACCAGAACTCTTTGTGTTGGGTCAGGACTCTTTGTGTTGGGATTGAAGTGCTAATTGAGGCTTTCTGCTGGGAATTCGGAAACTGTACAGCTTGTGAATCACCTACAGATATGGGACCTGGAGTTTTGTCAATGAATACTGTGAATTCCTGTCTTTCTAAATAAAAAGGGTTTTTTCTTCATGAGTATGCTGTTGAGTGGGGCTTGTGAAGGCTGGGTCAATATGATGAAACTCAGCACCACAGCCTTTTCTAGCTGGCCAGCTAAGAGGCCAAACAGGCTGTGGCTACAGCCAGAAACCATCCCCCCTGCACACAAAGGGTGGTGAGTGCATGGTGGCTGATGGTTTCTGACTGTAGCTGCCCCGCCCCCTGCCTGACCTCTCCTCATCCTGCAGAACAAATATCCCATCCAATGGAGACCCCTTGATTCCCTAACCGTGCTCAGGTACCACCCACATGAGCAATGTCAAGTTGGCCATGCCCCCAGTTGGCTGCGACCACTCTGGCCACACCCCTCCTCCTCCCCTCCAGCCCCAGAGGACAATCACAATGCTGAACTGGCCCTCAATAAAATCGAGTTTGACACCCCTGATATGGAAGATGTAATCTGGCCTTATCTGGGGTTATATATTAGAAAACAGTGGAATCATGAGCAGAATATGTGCTGCATGTTTAATAATTATTAATTACAATAGTTTTAGTGTGTTCTTAAAGGTGTTTTATTTAAAAAACAAAGGAATAATTTTTATTTTAATATCTTTAGAGAATTGATTAAAGTGGGCTGTGAAGATGCAACATTGGCTTTTAAAATGAAAGGTTTGGTAACAAATGCAAATTATTCCATGAAGAAGTGTATCTTTTTACTTTTTGTAAATCGTAAGTACAAATATATTCAATTCCATATTTTCACTGAATGTTTAAGGAATACTTTTAGTCATTAGAGATCCATTTTTGTCATTAATCCCATCCTGAAACTACTGGTGTTCTTTTTTCTAAATAGTTCATGTGTTGAAGTTAAAATATTTTTTTAAAAAAATAGCAATAACTATAGCACTAAATCTTAATGAAATAGCTTGATCTAAAAATGAAGAAAAAAAGCTCCCATTCATGTTTTTGCATTATAATAGTCAATCTTCATAGAAATGTTAAAAAAGGAAAAGAAAAAATGTATACATTTTTGTGTACATAACCCCTAATATGTTTCTGAAAGCCCAATGTAGTCTTCAACTAATTATGCAGCTTGGATCTGAGGAAACAAATAAGGTCCTGGATCAAGGTATAAGTTGATTTGATTTAATATAGTTAAAATGAAGTATATTAGAAGTGTAATTTTCAACCTACTTTGGTTTTCCTTAATATTTAATTAATACTGCTCTAGCACAGGGGTCCTCAAACCATGGCCCATGGGACAGATACAGCCCGCCGAGGCAATGCAACTGTCCCATACGCAATGGTGATTAAGCCCTGCCCCCTGCCCCTCCCCTCCCAACCAGTCCTTGTGTGACTGGCTGTGCTCGCATTGCCCCTCCTCCAGTTGTCACCTTTCCGGCGCATGGAGGACTGCTCACCGTAAGGGTGAAGAGTTGTGGGTAAGGTCTGCTCATTGCAAAGGTAAGGCTGAAGAGTGGGCCATAAGTGGGTGGGGAAGGCAGCTGGCCAGCAGCACAGCCACATGATCCCTGGCTGCCTGCAGCAGCTGAGCTACTGAGAATCTGGGTAGAAATGTGGGCTGGGGAAGGGGCTGAGCGCCATCAGCCTTACCTTCCAACCCACAAGGCTTGAAAGCTTTTTGCAGATGCCCACCAGTGTAAGGCTGACGGCGAGGGAGGGAGACACACTCTGCACCCACTGCACTCTGTCATTAAAACAAAAAGATCTTGGTTCCAAATCATTGAGTTTGTCTTTTAAGGATATTTGTTGAATGTGATGTCCTGATTACATACAATTTTTAAGAACATTTTTACAGTCATAAAATTTAACTTTTTAATTATATATTTGGCATAGGTTTTTTTTGTATATAAAGCTAAGCTTATTCAGAAATGGATATTAAATGATAATTTGGAAAAGATAATTAAAACAATTTTGTCTATTGTCTTTGCAGATCGATTGGTAGAGTCAACTGCCTTGCGCAGAGGGCTAGAGACTGTATATGCTGCTTATTTACCCAAAAACACGTATCCATTTTTATATATAAGGTAATACTGAGAAATACTTTTGCCGTTGAAATTCAGTTTGGCAGGTAGAGGAGACTTATTTTTGCTTCCTAATAAGCAAAAAATGTAGGTTCTCAGGACTATGCTTGATATATGTATTTGACTGGATAAGGATTACTGAATGGAAATTAAATCTGCATAAGAAGAAAGTGCTTCTTTTTTGTTTGAATGTTCAAGAGTGTTGGTAAAAGTTGTTCTATCTTTATAAACAAATGTAATTAAGAATTTTTTTCTGGATCCTGACTTAAACTTGGAATTTCAGGTCCCAGCTATGACCTGAAACTCTTTGCCCAATTAGGATTGGTGGGCCAGCACTTTTTTCTTTTGGAACCTCACTAGTTGTTATGATGGTTCATGCTATGGGTATCTATTGCTTTGATTATTGTAAGGATTACAGATATGACTTTGGTTTTGAATACCATTTTGCAAATTTCATTGGTTCAAAATGTGTTAGCCAGGCTTCAGTTTTATCTATGGTCTGCCTGTCCATTTCAAAGCACAATTTAAAATTTATTGTTAATCTGTAAAATTATAAATTTGCTACTATATTGTGAATATTTCTGCCAGTTCTCTTATTCTCGGAAACTATGATTGCTACTACTTCTTATGAATAAATAATTCAAAAGATATTTTTTCTATGTGAACCTCCAGTTTCTTTTATGAGAAGTATACCACATTTAGCTCATGAAACAAAATATAAAAATATAAATCTAATAAACATTATTTGCATTTAGGGCAGGTCTTTAAATTAAACTTCAATGTCAAATATTGTGAACTACTTCTGTCTTTGCTTGTTTATTCTGCTTAATTGTCTTGTGTGTTCTTTTCTGATTTCCTTACGAAGAAAAGGCCTGGAAATAAACTACAGTAAATGAATGTTATAGTATTAATATTGTATCTGCATTTGTTTCAAAATGCACAGTAGGCTATGTATGTCAGCTATGAAATTCAGCTGCCACATATTTATTTTTAGAGAGTTAGAGGAGTTGAAAAGTTCAAGGTTATTCTGTGTGTGGTATTAAGAATCTCCAGTTGCAGTTAATTGGTTCTCGTGATTTATGAAGAGTAGAAGTGGGAAGAGAGAAGGTGGATTTTGTGTAACACGGGAAAAAGCTTTAACTTGGGAAATTGCTTCTGAACATGCCGGATCTGTTCCTAATAAATCAATTGGAGAGATAACGTCTCGGAGTGATTGATATCATGGATACTGTCTGGATGCTTGACAGGCTATATAGTAGATGTCTCTCAGTTGTGTGTTTAAAGGATTCCTATGATTTGTATAGTTCTGGTTTTGAAAAAACAGTTCTGGTTACAATGCAAATTTGTAATCAAGCACATCTTTGAACAACTTACACTTATTGTTCTCAAAATGTTTTATAGCCTTGAGATTGCACCTCAGAATGTGGATGTGAATGTGCATCCTACAAAGCATGAAGTTCATTTTCTCCATGAAGACAGCATCCTGGAGCATGTACAACAACATATAGAGAGCAAATTGTTAAGTTCCAATTCATCGAGGATGTATTTCACTCAAGTAAGTGGATTCTTTTATCCTCAAATGAGTAATATATGTTTTATTAATAATAATCCTATGAAAATCATTCCAAATTAATTATACTATGTTGTGTATGAGAAGCTAGGATGTTACCTAGTTTGGGTAATGAAATGTCTGCAAGAAAACAAGCAAGCTCAGAGACCACCAAGGACCCCTCATTTCAACCCTGAGCTAAATAACATTCTCCTTTATTGAGAGGGTTATAAAGAATCAGTATTGCATCTTTTGACAAATCATTGAAAATCTGTGGAATCACTGAAAAATTCAAGTACATTATCTTAATATACATTAATAGTTTTAATTGTGTGATATAAAGTTAAGAGAGGTTTCACGTAAGACAGAGGTTGGAAAAGGATTTTAATTTGTAGAAACATTAAAATACTCTTTCATCATTATTTTTCTGCAATGAAGACATTGTTACCAGCCATTGCCATCTCTTCCACTGAAGTTGTTAAATCAACAAAATCAGCTATTCAAGGAAGTGAGCAGGTTTATGCTCATCAGATGATCCGCACTGACTCACGGGACCAAAAATTGGATGCTTTTCTTCAACCAGTTATTAAAACTAAGAATGCAGAGCTTGTTGTGGCAGAACTAGAGGACAATAGCAAGATTCAAAGTTGCAAGACTACTGGAGTACAAGATGTTGAAATGGAAGAATGTGATGATTTGAGTGCAAGTATTTCAAGAACTGAAGAGACACTGAAAGGATCAGTGGAAAGCCAATCAATGCCTGTTGAGGCAGTATCTGAAAGGTAAGAGGGTTTTTTGGACAACGCTCTATTTCTTTTGAAAATTTGTTCTCTTTTCTAGTTACATTATCATCAGAATCTATATGCGATAGAAAAAAGATGAATCTTGGTCTAGATTCTTTTTAAAATTATTTAATATTTTGCCTGGGCTCTTTAGCATTATTTATTCTGATAAGTATGTTGTGACCTGCCCGCAGCTGACAGAGAGCTGGCAGCAGAGTTGGACAGCGAGGAGGTTGGGGAGGAAACTGGGCCAGTGCTGGAGTCTGAGGAGGGCTCAGATGAGGGCTCAGATGAGGGCTTTGCGTTAGAGGCAGAAATGGGGCCGGGGTAGGCTGGCAGTTATCAGCTGCCTTCAGGCTTGGACGACAGTGAGGCACAGAGCTTCTGGATCCAGTTCCCAGCCTGCCCATGCTGCCAAAAGGAAGGAACAATTTAGAACTCAGGATTGACGGAGTAAGGCCACAGGTGGATGATGAATGGCCCTCCCATAAGGATTAAAAGAGGAGCAAAAGGGGAGGGGGCTTTTATAGGAAACAATTTGTTTTTTTGTTCTACCTCGTGAAGATCTGCCTGTATAACCTAGAGACTCTGTGCCCAGCCCTTCCCTGTCAGCACTGCGTGTGGAAATATTTACCAGGCAGCTTTCCAAGGTAGATAAGATCTGAGCTAATAGTTATGCCTTGCAAGACTGTTTGCCAGGCCATTGGCTGAATGTGAATGCAATAAATTCACATTCATTTAATAAAAGAGGTTTTGCTAGGACATAGGGTTTGCTTAGTGCTTGAGGGGGGGGGGGAGCCTAGAACAGAACAAACTATCCGATTTCTAGTATAATTTGTTTCTTAGGCCTCTACCCACTGATTTTCTAGTGAAGTAAATTCTCCATATACTCCCATAGAGTAAGCTTTACCTTGTAGAACAGGGGTGAATAATTAATTTTCCCAAGGGGCTGCATGAGAAACTGGAACTGTTGTGGAGGGCTGCCATTGCTGCCCCAGTGCCTTCCCATTGCTATGGTCGTTCAGGGACAGTCAAAACGCCAGATGTCATCCCTGTGCTATAAAATGCCCAGGTCTTTTTGTAGGAGGATGTATTAGGTCCATAGTTTGGTTTCATATATGCTATGCTGCTCATTTCTTTGCCCACCTATCCAGTACTAATGTAAAGTGTTGATATTAAGCATTAGTTGCTGAAATAGACAATTTAGATCATTTGGGAAATAGATTATTTTAGTGAACTTATTTTATTTAAATATTTTTGTATTTTATTTTTATTTATATTTGTGTTGTCAAAGTAGTATTGATTCCTGGCAACTGCCTGAACAAATCATTGAAGTTTTCTTGGCAAGATTTTTGAATTATTTGCCATTACCTTTTTCCTGGGACTGAGAGAGAGTGAATGGCCCAAGGTCATCCCACTGATTTGTGCCTAAGGAGCTATTAGAATGCTTGTTTCTAGCCTAGTGCCTTATCTACTACATCAAATTGGCTTTCTATTTTATATCTAATTATTGTAGTACTGTATTCCTGAGAGGAGGTACCATTCTACTTCATTTTGTAATATATGTTGTTCTATCATCCAGCCAACATTTTGTGTTTAATAATAATTTGAAAAGTAGATTGCCCCTGCCTAATTGGATGTAACTTAATTATGTTCTGCTTATCCTGCCATTGCTTCCTAAAAGCATATATTTTAGTTGTGTTGTACTTTTGTAGTAACTCTCATGCTTTTACAGTAAATAATGGCCCCTGTATGTTATTTTGATAAGTTGGGAAGATTGAAATATTCTTATTACCTAATTAAAATCCAGGTAGGAATTATTTTTTATAGCCTTAATTAAAATCCAGGTGCCACAAAAATGTTATTTATAGACTTAGGTTATAGTAACTTTTTAGTCTCTTCAGTGAAAGTTTAACTTTATATGGTTTCTTCCCTTTATAAATTTAATTGCTTATGGATATATTAACAGTATGTTGTATTTTTTAAATCAGCAGACACTATTTGTTTTCTTAAATGGGTTCTTTAAAAGAGATGTTTTTCAGTTAAATTTCTCTTGCAGAAAGAGACAGCGAACAGATCATGGTCTTGAAATGGAAAAAAATCCACAACAGGAAATGGCTGCTGCCTGCACTACAAGAAGAAGAATTATTAATTTAACCAGTATATTGACTCTTCAAAAAGATATTAATAGAAGGGCAAATGCAAGTAAGTTTATTTTTTTTTGCCACTAATTTTTTATACTGCCTGTAACCTTTTTCAGTAATTCAGCAGCAAGGGAGAACTCGTTTGCTTGTAGAGTACAGATGAAACTTGAAAAATTCGAATATTGTGCAAAAGTTCATTTATTTCAGTAATGCAACTTAAAAGGTCAACCTAATATATGAGATAGACTCATTACATGCAAAACAAGATAGTTCAAGCCGTGATTTGTCATAATTGAGATGATTATGGCTTACAGCTCATGAAAACCCCAATCCACAATCTCAGAAAATTAGAATATTGTGAACAGATTCAATATTCTAGGCTCAAAGTGTCCCACTCTAATCAGCTAATTAAACCATAACACCTGCAAATGGTTTCTGAGCCTTTAAATGGTCTCTCAGTTCAGTGGGAAGCACAATCATGGGAAAGACTGCTGACCTGACAGTTGTGCAGAAAACCATCACTGACACCCTCCATAAGGAGGGAAAGCCTCAAAAGGTAATTGCAAAAGAAGTTGGATGTTCCCCAAGTGCTGTATTGAAGCACATCAATAGTTATGTGGAAGGGAAAAGTGTGGAAGAAAAAGATCCACAAGGGGTGCCTGCAGCCTGGAGAGGATTGTCAGGAAAAGGCCATTCAAAAGTTTTGGGGACTTTCACAAGGAGTGGACTGAGGCTGGAGTCAGTGCATCAAGAGCCACCACACAGAGACAGATCCTGGACATGAACTTCCAATATCATATTCCTCTTGTCAAGCCGCTCCTGAACAATAAACAACATCAGAAGTGTCTTCTCTGGGCTAAAGAAAAACAGAACTGGTCTGTTGCTCAGTGGTCCAAAGTCCTCTTTCCTGATGAGAGAAACTTTTGCATCTCATTTGGAAACCAAGGACCCAAAGTCTGGAGGAAGAATGGAGAGGCACACACTGCAAGATGCTTGAAGTCCAATGTGAAGTTTCCACAGTCTGTGTTGATTGGGGAGCCACTTCATTTTCCAGCAGGACTTGGCACCTGCCCACACTGCCAAAAGCACCAGAACCTGGTTCAATGACCGTGGGATTACTGTGCTTGATTGGCCAGCAAACTCGCCTGACCTGAACCCCATAGAGAATCTAGGGGCACTGCCAGGAGAAAGATGAGAGATATGAGACCGAACAATGCAGAAGAGCTGGAGGCTGCTATTGAAGCATCCTGGTCTTCCAAAACACCTCAGCAGTGCCATGGGCTTCCATGCCACGCTGCATTGAGGCAGTAATTGCTGCAAAAGGGCCCTAAACCAAGTACTGAGTACATATTTATCTTATACTTTTCAGAGGTCTGATATTGTTCTATGTACAAGCCTTGCTTTATTGATTGCATGTAATATTCTAATTTTCTGAGATTGTGGATTTGGGTTTTTCATGGGCTGTAAGCCATAATCATCTCAATTATGATAAATCATGGCTTGAACTATCTTGCTTTGCATGTAATGAGTCTATCTCATATATTAGTTTCACCTTTTAAGTTGCATTACTGAAATAAATGAACTTTTGCACAATATTCTAATTTTTCGAGTTTCACCTGTATGTGTGAATGTACTAAGGTGGAAGAGATGAGAGCTGATAAAAATAAAATGTCTCAGAATGGTCAGCTTCCTCTTCCAAGGATGTCTGCTGAGGACAGTTGGTGGTTCCGAGGTTGGGGAAATCAGGAAATGAGAATAGGGCTATTATTTGAAAATTGGAGTCAGGTCAGAATATTATGGTAGCAGTGGAAAGAGGGAAATGTGGAAGACGGGAACACAAGACCATTGTCTTGTAACAGTTTCACATTCCAACTCCTTGATTTGAGCCCCAATGCCCAAACAGTTGTCCTATTCCCATCTCCATTTCTCAGACACTCACTTTCCCAACCAGCTGCTACTACAGAATGACAAGTATGTCTTCATCACAAGTTATTTTCCAAAATCCTTAAGAGAATTAACAAATTCATTATTTGTTTATAAATAATTATTATAAACTATTTTATTAAAACTACTATTTTTTTTCTAAAGACCTCACAAAGTTTGAATGCATGTTCAGATTGAAAGAACTGCAAAACATCACCCTAGAAAGCAAAATTTGATTCATATACTTGAGCTACTGATGAAGCAACAGGGTTTACTTTACTTTACTTTACTTTACTTTACTTTACTTTACTTTACTTTACTTTACTTTACTTTACTTTACTTTACTTTACTTTACTTTTACTTTTACTTTTACTTTTACTTTTACTTTTACTTTTACTTTACTTTACTTTATTGGCATTGCATCTCGTACAACGAAATCAAACACCATCTTCAGTGCACATCATGACCATGACTATGAAAGTAAACACAAACACACATCCTTTATCCTTCACACATTGAACTGGAAACCCCCGACACCACACCAACACTGCACTATAAAGCAGAAATCAAACGAGCTACTGCCCTGGGGTAGAAGCTGTTTTTCAGCCTATTTGTCCTTGTTTTTATTATTCTGTACCATCTGCCAGATGGTAATAGTTCAAAAAAAGGGTTCCCAGGATGAGATGGATCTTTGAGAATGTTTTGAACTTTCTTAAGGCAGCGGGAGCTATAAAGCTGTTCCAAAGAGGGGAGAGGGCAACCAATGATCTTCTGGGCAATGACATTAACCCTCTGGAGTGCTTTCCTATCTGCCACTGTGCAATTGGCAAACCATACAGAGATGCAGTATGTTAAAATGCTCTCTGGTGCAGCGGTAGAAGGTCACCAGCAGTTTTTCATTCAGTTGTTGTTTTCTGAGAATCTCAGGTAGAATAATCTCTGCTGGGCCCTTTTGACCAGGGCTGCAATGTGAGCACCCCAGGTCAGATCCTCTTTTTAGGGTAACACCCAGAAACTTAAAACTGTCCACTTGCTCCACTTGGTCTCCATTGATAAGCAAGGGCTAGATGTCTGATCTGTTCCTTCTATAATCCACTATAAACTCCTTGGTCTTATTGGTGTTGAGGACCAAGTTATTGTCTCCACACCATGAAAGCAACCAGTCCACTTCATCTCAGTAGGCAGACTCATTCCCCCTGGAGATAAGCCCCCCCCCCCACTGTTGTATCATCTGCAAAATTAGCAATAGTATTACTAGCGTGAGTGGGAATGCAGTCATGCACATAAAGAGTATAGAGTAAGGGACTCAACACGCAACCCTGTGGTGTACCAGTATTAAGAATAAGGGCTGAAGAGGTATGATTACCTTATCTGACCCTCTGTGAGCGGCCAAACAGGAAATCCATAATCCAAAGGCAGATTGAATTAGAATTAGCGCCCCTCCCCCGCTGTTCTAGATGAGTCAGAGCAGTGTGAAGAGTGATGGCTATAGTGGCCTCTGTAAATCCATTTTTTTTCTGTATGCAAACATGTTTATCAAATATATGCGGAAGACTAGAAATGATGTGCCAGCAGACCAATTTCTCAAAACACTTCATGATGATAGGAGTGAATGCCACTGGTCTGTAATCGTTGAGGTTATTGATAGGGAACTTCTTTGGCAGCGGAACAATGATAGAAGCCTTCAAACAAGATGGAATAATGGACTGGGATAAAGACCGATTGAAGATCCTAGTATAGACTCCAGCCAACTGATTAGCACAGTCTTTAAGCACTAGGCCAGAGATACCGTCAGGACCGGCAGCCTTTGTAGTGTCCATAGCCCTCAGAATGCTCCTCACCTCCTGTTTCTCCACAATGAGGTGGGGGCTACAATTGGCTGGTAGTTGTGTTTTATCTGTCTCTGATGTCTCCACTTCAAAGCAAGCAAAGAAATGATTTGGTTCCTCTGCCAATGAAGCATCCCCCTCAGCAGGGATGACATTGGTCAGTAGATGGTTTGTAATTTGTTCAATCCCTCGCCACACCTGCCTCATGTTATTGCTATAAAAATTATCCTCAATCTTCCTCTTATAATCAGTCTTGGCCTTCCGAATACCTTTCTTCAGATTAGCTCTGGCAACACTGTATCTTGCCCCATCACTGGACCTAAAGGCCTTGGTCCTGTCACGCAAGAGGTGCTGGACTTCCTTGGTCATCCAGGATTTCTAATTGGGATAGATCCTAATACGTTTATCCACAGTGATAGTATCTGTGCAGTGTTTGATACAGCACAGAACAGTTGCAGTGTGCAACTCTAGGTCAGGGTGGTAAAAGATGTCCCAATTTGTGTTCTCAAAACAATCCTGAAGTTGTTGGGAAGCATCTTCTGGCCAAAATTTCACTGTCTTTATTATAGGCAGAGCCCATCTCCTAGGAGGGATGTATGCTGGTGCTAAAAGCAGTGACATATGGTCTGATTGTCCCAAATGTGGCAATTGTATAACCTTAGACCCATGTTTGATGTTGGTATATACTTTGTCCAATACGTTTGCTCCTCTGGTAGAACATTTAACATGCTGATAGAATTTAGGGAGCACTGCTTTTAAATCAGCTTGATTAAAGTCCCCCGCTATGATATGCACAGCAACAGGATACTTATTCTGCTGATTACTAACAATGTTTACAAGAATCCCAAAGCTATAGTAGTATTGGCATTAGATGGGACATAGACTGCAGTAATCAAAACCACGCTGAATTCCCACAGAAGATATATGGGTCTACATTTAAGAGTTATATACTCCAGATCCATGGAGCAATGGCTGTCTACAGTCTTTGTATTGATACACCAGCTTTTGTTCACATAAAGGCTTAAACCTCCCCCTTTGATCTTGCCAGAATCTCTACTCCTGTCCTGCCAGTGAGCTACGTAGCCTTCCAGCTCAACAGCTGCACCTGGAATGAGTGAATGAAGCCAAGTTTCTATGATTAGCAAAATACAGCAGTTCTTGATGAATTTAGTCTTTGCAATTTGTAGCCTTAATTCATCCATTTTGTTAGTCAGAGATTTTGCATTGGTAAGAAATATACTTGGAATTGAAGGCTTGTGTGGAAACTTACTGAGCCTAAAGAAAACCCCAGCATGGCATCTTCTCTTCCTCTTCCTGTTCTTCTTTCTCCGCCTCTTCCTCCTTTCTACAGGGATAGTGATCCATGGCTCCCCCAGGGGCCTAGCTGCCTCCTTCGGTATGTTATGAGAATGTATAAAATCGTCCGTAATAGCCTTTTCACTTTTCAGTCCAATTTGCAACAAGGCTTGCCAACTATAGATGCTCCTTGCCGCACAGGATTCAATCAAGGAAAGGATCCAAAACACACATAGAATCATACACACCATATACTGAAAGAAGGAGCAGTTAGCCACAGCATCCATGTGCGTAGCCATCTTGAAAACCTTTAATAGAATAAAATAAAGTTGTGTATTTCTGAGAAGTATAGGAAGAGCTTAATTCAGAAACTAGATTGCAGTTATTTTGATGTTAGTGTTAAAACAATCTCATGATATACTTTTACATACAATTTATTACCAATTTTGTAATAAATTTTTGAATACTAAAAAATTTAACTTAGAAGAATCAATTAGAATTCTGTAAATATTTTGAAGGAAATAAAAATAGCTTATACATTCTTCATATAAGTAGATTCTTCTTAGCTCTAAGTTTGTATGTTTCAGAACAGAATATTCATATGATAGAAATAACTCAAGCTTGACTGGCATTTACTTGATTACTAACATTATATCTAGATATACAATTACTAGTGATTTATTATTTTGTCCTTCATATTTTTTTGCTAGCTAATACATTAACGTTGTGAAGTATTTTGAAAAATCTGGATTGGATTTTAAAAGTTTATATTGTTTGATTTGAGTTGAATTTAGAAATGGATTTAAATATTTGTTAATCTTCAGATTTTTGGCAACAAAATTCTTATTTAAGTAATATATTTACTTTTAAACAAACTTCTAAAATTTGGGGTCGGTTTTACTAATGGGACAATTAAAATGGTTCTTGGTTTTATATAGTTTTAAAAGTAACTAAAGTAGATTAGGATAAATTGCAAAATCCATAGTGATTTTAAAGGTCTATATTATTATTAATTTTGTACGATATCCTAAACGTAAATAAACTTGTTATTTCAGGTCTTCAAGAGATGCTTCGTGATCATTCCTTTGTTGGATGTGTTAGTCCTCAATGGGCACTTGTTCAGTATCAGACAAAACTTTATCTTCTGAATACCACAAAACTCAGGTGGTAGACTGATGCATTGTTATTTTTGTCAAAACAGAATTAGTTGAAATAGGAAATGAATCTTAAATAAATGTTCTGGACTGCAGCTTAGTTTTTGCATTTTGTTCGTAGTCTAGAAGATGGGAGAGAGCATGGTCCAATTTAAGAACAACATGTGATTTGTGATAGAATATACCAGTCTTTGGAGCAATTTGCTGATGATAATGATATTTTGAAATAATTTATAATCAGCACTCGAAGGACGTTTTCATTCATTTTGTCTGAATGCTTCAATATTCTGCTAAAATAAGTTGATTGATTTTATGTATTGTTGATTTTATATATTGCTGACTATTTGATTGTCACTTCTAATTCATAAATTAGAATATAATTTGTAATTAATAATTTCATGGTAAAGCTTAATGCTAAATATACAAGAGAATGTGCATTTAAGAAACTGATTTTTGTTTTCTTTTGATTCAAGTCAAGAAATGTTCTATCAGATCCTTATTTATGACTTTGGAAACTTTGGAGTTTTAAGATTATCAGTAAGTATACTTTAGGGGTAGAATTTAAATTTGATACTTTACTAATCTTCTAAAGATAGTAGTTCTTTTTATACATTTTAGGCTAGCATATAAGACATGTATGGAAGACCAATGTAGTTTCCTTATGCTTCGTTAATATTTACATGGTTTCTTAATATTTACATGTTTTTAAATCCATGCATATGTTCTGTTGTCTGTCCCAACTTATCTGTAGTTATCTGTTCCATCCTTGTAGAAGTTGTTATTCAGAGAAACCCACGTGACTCAGATATACATATGGGAGATGTAAGACCCAAATTATTTAATACTCATAATACAGAGACATGTTTGGTTCACAATTCAAAGGTTTATTAAAGAAAATAACTGTTTGCAAATGAACCTTCAAGTCCCTTCCAAAGTAGATTGGGTTCAAGAAGAGCAAGATCTAATAGTCAAACAAATCATTTTATACATTCTACACAATGCACGCCACGCCTAAGAAGATCTCCCCACTCCCCTTATTATCTTTAAGTCATACTATAAGGTAAAGGATCGTCTTGACTTTTTCTTTCTAGGCACCAGATATCTTAACTTGTTTACTTGTACTTTACCTTGGGTGGATGTCCCTATCTTATGTGCCTGTTTTATTGCCAGAGGCCTTGCCTGGGCGGATGTTCCTATTTTTTCAGAAGCCTGCAACTATCCAGCACATTTTGTTTAACTGAACATACTTTGTGGTTAGGATACAGCAACAAAGACAACACAGCTTAATAATGCACTTACTATTTCTAATTCTATAATAAAAGAGTAGCTTAATATTTCCTTCACATATATTTTTGTAGAACATTCTGATATTAAGAGCCAAAGTGTGGTTTAATTATCAAATTTGTTTTTATAATTTATTTTTTATATAATTATTATGTGTTTTGATTACTATTTATATATTTAGCTGTGTAGTCTCTGGACCTGTTCAGGATTGATAAATTGTATTCCCAATTTAATTGTGGAAGTGTGTTACAGCAGCCTTCCACAGTATTTAACACACCCTCCACCTGGGAAGGTGACAATAATTTTCATATCCCATCTTTATATATAATTCATATAAAGAAATGTTCTCAGACTGACAGTCTTTTGGATGCCTCTAGACAGTATATTATTTTCATAAATAATAATGTTTTGTGTTACTTCTGTGCATATAGGAAGCAGCTCCTCTCTTTGATCTGGCTATGTTGGCCTTGGAGAATGCTGAAAGTGGTTGGACAGAAGAAGATGGTCCAAAAGAAAGCCTTGCTGAATATATTGTTGACTTCCTATCAAAGAAGAGTGAAATGCTAAAAGACTATTTCTCCCTTGAAATTGATGTACTACTATAGCATTTGACTTCTAAACAATAAATTCATGATTATACCCAATTATTTACATTAATAATTCCAGTACATGTAGTCTTGCCCAATGATGACAATTGGAATTGGCAGTTTTGTTGTTAAACAAAGTGATTGCAAAATGAAAATACAGCTGTGCTTATGATCTTAGTTCAGCTTTGCTTTACCAACCTTGTAAATGCAAGGATTGGTTACAAGGATATTTTTTTTATGATCATCATAACTATAAGTTGCAAAACAAGGACGATCTGTATGAGATTTTATATATATATTTTATATATAATTTATATATAATTTTATTTATATATATATATATAAATAAATAAAATTATTCACCCAGTGAGTGGCCTGCTACCAATATTCAGTACTGGTAGTAGTAGTGCTGAAATTTAGTTATTTAGTTAGGAAATTGTTGGCCTACAAGTTATGAGTTAACCTGTTGAAACTATGCATATCTATAGTGGGCCTTCTCTCTTCGAAAGAGAATCTAAAAGCAAGATAATATCTTTAGTAACACCATCAAAATAAATCTAAAACTGTAATATAATAGAAATATGTTCATAATCTGGCATTTTAATTGATCTAATAGAAATAGCTTATAATGGGTTTTTATATATGCAACACTTGTTCTTTTATGTTTAATATCTTCATGTTATTTATCTTATTTGCAGTCATTTGAAACAAATGGCTTTATGGAATATGATGATGAAAATATGGTATGAAAACTTTCTGTTTACAGGAAGGAAATCTTACTGGACTGCCACTTCTGATTGATAATTATGTTCCTCCACTGGAAGGGCTACCTATGTTTATCCTTCGTTTGGCCACAGAGGTACGTTGAAATTCAGTATAAATTACTATTTTTTAAACTATATGCAGGCATGCTTAGATAGGTCATTTTTATTTCTTAATATTCAGCATGAGAAAAGAAGCAAAAAGGTGCAAAAACATATATCTGAACTGAGGCCCAACTGATAATAATTTATTTTAATATTACCAGTTCTGTCAAAGACTTAAATTATGGAAGACCTTAATACTGTTTTCCCAACCATTCATCCAACTTCTTAAATTACAATGGATTGCCAAATCTCTATCAAACATAGTTTCATTAATATACTTCCCATTTAAAAAAAGTTAAAATTGAAATAGATTTTGTAAAACATAACTATAATCATTAAAATCTTCGGCAATTTATTTCTATAAAGGTTATGATAGGATTGTTTGTTTAACTTATAACTTGCCTTTCCTTAAGGCAATGTACATAGGTCATTCTTCAACTTTTTCCCCACAAGAACCCTGTGAGGTAGCTTGGGGGTAGACTTGATTCTGGGTTTCCCAAGTCCTAGTCCAGCTCTTTAACCACCACACAATACTGGCTTACTTTCTTCCTTCTCGGAATATCTCTATTCATAGGAAGTAGAACCTGTAAATAGGTTATTTTTAATCCCCCCCAATCTTTTATATATTCTCAACTTTGTGTATGAAATATACTTATTATCAAGTTTAACATTACATACAAATGTAACCTAAACAACTAATAAAAATTAGATTAAAGAAATCAGAATGGAGTGTTTCAGTTTCTGATTGTCATATCACTACTATCACCCCTGCTAAAAGGTTAAAACTACAATATTCTTTATTCATAATAACTTGTCTTTGTAACTGACCAGTTCACTAAATCTAGAACTATACCTTTTATTTAATTTTTTTACCAGGTAAACTGGGATGAAGAAAAGCAGTGTTTTGATAGCCTTAGTAAAGAATGTGCCATGTTCTACTCTATTAGAAAGCAGTATATAATGGAAGATTCTGGTCTCACTTTTCAACAGGTATTGTCTATAGTAGTAAAAAATGAAAAGATCATTTTACACCTGTAGCCATCATGTATTGGAGTTACAATTTCCAGATTTTCCAGACACTTATCTTAGAATTTTGGAAGTATACATTTAAAAAGCACCAGTTTGGAAAGGCAAGAACATAAAAGCTATATTTGCAAATCTTGTACCTAGAGTATTAATATTTGTGTATTTATTTATTAAATGTATATGCTGGCCATCTTGCTAACAAAGTGATTTTGAGTAACTTACAGTGACATAAAAGCATAAATATAAAAGCATTAAAATTAAAAACCTTTAAGCAAAGGTTAAAAAGAAAAAACACATATGTTGCAGAGGTGACTTTTACCTCTGACTCAACTAACCATTTCTAGCACAGTGCTCCCCATTTGTGCTCCAAGCCAACAACCACAGAACCAGGTTTTAAAACTCTTCTGGAAGGCCTCTAGTTGTGGAATGTTACAGGAGGCCAGGGACATTGCAAAAGACGCTCTTCTGGGTCCTGTTAGCCAATTACTTGGCAGATGGAGTCCATAGAATGCTTTTTCTGAGTAAGTGGGGCAGGATAATCCCATTAGGCAACATATTTTCTTAGATAACCTGCTCCGTGCTATGAAGTACTTTAAAAGTGAATTATGAACCCTTGAATTATGAAGATAGAGATACTTTATTTTTTAATACCCCGGAAGAGGTTTATATTGCTAAAACATTTTGGCAGTAACCTTTTCCGTTAAGTAGATTTTAGTTCCTTCAGTAACCAAATACCATGTTTCCCTGAAAATATGACCTACCTAGAACGTAAGTCCTAGCTTGATTTTTGCACATGCACCCAGTATAAGACCTACCTCCAAAATAAGCCCTAAGGGACGGGGTGCATGGGTAAAAATTAAGCTAGGGTGGGGATGAAGGGTGGGGCTGCCCTGCTTACAAGACCTCACACACTACGACACCTGCCTCGACATGCAGGTCCACTTCTTCTGTGACTGCTTGCTGCTGCTCGTACATGTCGCCTGCAAGACCCTCTGCAGCCAAGAAATGAGGTCCAGATTGATGTGCGCGGTGCCTCCCTAGCCTTCGTTTTGCCATCAGAAGCTTTCCAGAAAGCCCTCTGCAGCCGATAACAGCCCTGGATCTGGCAAAACAAGGCCAGGGAGGCACTGCACGTCAATCTAGAGCCTGTTCCTTGGCTGCAGAGGACTTTCCGGAAAGCCTCTGATGGAGAAATGGAAGCAAGGGACGAATGCATGCAAGCAGCAAGCTGCTGCAGAATAAGTGGGCTTTTGTTGCTGCTGCCGCAAGGTGAGTCAATAATCAGACACCCCCCCCCCCCAAAATAAGACCCTTGTTTTTGGGGAAACACTATTACATCAGCTATATTGCATCACATCAGCAATATTACCTCATGTTATATTTTAGTACGTGTTTGTCTTTTTTCATTTTAGTGAAAACATAGTATGTACTCTTGGGGTAAGGGCTCTGAAGAGTATGTTCATGCAGTAAAATCTTAAGAAGTTTTTAGTTGAATTGGTCCTTGATCAAAAATTCAGTTATGCAAAAGCTTCACAGAATAATGCTAAAGTGATAATTGCCATGATGTTGCCAGAGTACCTTACTTGATCATTCTCCTGAAGATGTGTGTGCACAGATCAGCAAGGAGGTTAATTCAATAAAAAACAACAAAACAAAACACTGAAACTTAGTTAAGCAGTGGTGAAATTTCTGTCAAATCCAAATTTACATTATTAATGTAATCAACATAATTTGTGTACTTATGCAAATGACTCAAATCATCTAAAATATGTCAGTTGTGCCATTCTGCTGAGGATACTCAGTACTTGTTTATTAGCACAAGCAAGCCTAGTTATACAAGCTACACTGCATGTTCCTTGATGTACTGGAATTTTGCATTGTTTCTAAAATGTCATACAAGATCCTACTTATTGAAACATTGACTAAAATTAGCCTACTTGGATTCTTCCTGCCCACATAAATCTACCACTGAAGTGTTGTGGCCTTATGGCCTGATTAAGTCAGAAGTCAATACTGTTCTAGAAACTAAATAGGGAATCCTTTACCTGGATTGTAGAAAAATTGGAGCAAATTTTCTCATTACTGTAGTGGCAGCTTCTGTGTCAGATCTTTCCTGTTACCTAATAGTTTTTATAGTATTGTTTCTGTCCTGTACATTGATGCTAAGAGTCTGAAAAATCATTAAATGGTTTTTAAATTGCCTGCACATTTAAGACAATTTTGCATACATTTCTGTTTGTGTCCCATCCTTTGATGGCACTCTGAATTATTAGTTTCTTGATTAGCTGGTTTTATTCCAAAACTCATGTCTTTTAAAGGAGACATGTCCTCAGAGGGGGGAGTAGATATATATTCTCTATGCAAATTGCATTCAATTTTTTGTAATTAATGCACAAGCGTATGGAGCCATCTTTCTTTTCGTGGAATAACACTGGGGCAGCTATTTTTGGTCGGACGGGTTCAATGAAACTTAAATTTTTATCAATAAATGCTCTGAGCTCTTTCAGTTCTCTGGGAGACATGCGCTACATTTGTGGTTTTGGGAGTTTAGCCCCTAGTAGGATTTCGATAGCGCAGTCTGTGGCTTGATGGGGTGGGAGTTCATCACAAGCTTCCTCGCTAAATGCTTGGGCCAGATCCTGGTACTCATTGGGGATGTTAATGGGTTCAGCCGATTGTCCAGTCATGGCTGATTCTCTGTTCTCTGTCCCTTTTTTAATTCTTTCCTCTGAGCTATTTGCAAATATTACGTCTCTCTGGAATTGTACAGTTCCTGTCCTCCAATTTATTTTTGGATTCCATTTCTGCAGCCATGTGAGACCTAGGACTAGCGGCTCTTCCATTCCTGGGGCTACAATGAATGTGAGCATCTCCCTATGGTTTCCTAGTCTTATTTTCAATGGTTCTGTGATAAACCTGGCTGGCTCCCACCCACCCCGCCATAGTTCCATCTAATTGGCAGAAAGCGATGGGATTTTCCATTTCTTTCAGTTGGATCCCCAATTTCTCTGCAAGGGAAGGATTTATTAGGCATTGGGTGCATCCCGAATCCAGCAACACTGCAACTTCCTCTAAGCAGAAGCTATACTATGTTTTCTAAGTGCATCAGTTGTTTTTCACAATGTAACAGCTGGCTTAAGGACTGAATCAAAAGTGTTCTAGATCCCCATCTGCCTATGTTTACTCTGTTGTTTAGGATTTGCAGTTATCTTACTGGCTTGTAAGAGACATCTGCTTTTTAGAAGCTTTTTGTACTTCTTGCCTTTGTATAATTGCTTTTCTTGTTACTTTAATTTAAAAATGAAGTCTTCCTTTCTTGTGCCAGTGTCTGGAGGCACTATACAAATAAAATAATTTGTTTGGCAGAATGAGCAATTTTACTTAATTGACTCTCAATAATTTTTTCAGAAGATACTTTAGAAGAACCTATTTATTTTCAACTGTAGTCAGCAAGTCAAATATCGAACAGTCTGTGCTATCAGTAGATCATGTCTAGTTATAAAGTCTAATGTATTTTGATCTTTCAAGGGTTTGAACTTAAGAGTTCTCTCTTTTGTGCACCCTTATGTGGCTGAGCAAATAGCATTTGCCTTTGGAGAGAGAGCATTTTCTGTCAGAGAGGAGGAAAGCTGTAAAAGTTGCTCTTTCAATTTTCAATATTTTAACAGATGGATCCTTTGAGATGCAGCCAACTGCTATAGAACAGGGATATCAAACTCAATTTCATAAGGGCCAGATCAGCATTGTTGTTGTCCTCCCGGGTGGGGGGTGTGGCCAGGGGAGGGGCATGGCCTGGGTGGTTGCGGCTGACTGGGTGTGGTCTGCTTGATGTCGCTTGTGTGGGTGGTGCCTGTGGGGTTGGGGAGGGAATCCAGAGGTCTCCATTGAATGGGGCAGTGGGCGGGAGGCTCGTCCTGCAGGATGAAATGAGGCAAGGCAGAGGGCATGGTAGCTACAGCTGGAAACCTGTCAGCCACTACGTGCTCTCCACCCTTTGTGTGCGAGGGGATAGTTTCCGGCTGTAGCCGCAGCCTGCCAGCCCCTCAGCTGATGCACACTGAGGCTCTGGAGTCCACTGCCACCACCAGGTTGGCCGGAGGTGGGAGGAATGTGATGCAGACCACTGGACATGCTTACTCTGTCCCACTGTTTGTTTTGGCTTGCAGTTGGAGAGCAGGTCGCCACTGGTCATCTTGGCCCCTTTGCAGGTCTTATCAGAAAGTTGTAAAAGGTGATTGCATGAGCCCAGAACACAGTAACTATCATAAATACAAGTCAGTTGCTAAGCATCCAATTTTTGATCACATGACCACAAGGATGCTGCCATAGTTATAAGTGTGAAAAATGGTAATAATTCACTTTTTTCAGAGCTTTGTAACTTTGAACAAAGTTAACTAAATATTACAAGTTGAGAAACTACCTAAATACTGAAATGGGTGCTCAGGCTGCACACCACCACTGGTCCATGGCACACCAGAAACCAGGCTGTACAAACAAGCCAAGCCTCATCTGTGCACACACAAGATGTAGACAGCACATGAAGCCACTTCCTCTCCTGGTCCACTAATAGAACTCTCTAATAGAACCAGTCCCTGGCACCAAAAAAGTTGTGGGCTGCACTACTAAAGCAACCAGGTATTAGATTTATGGGAATTTTGTTCTATTTGCATTTTTGTCAGCCTATCCACTTTGCTCAGACTGTTACATAAAGTAAAAAAACATTCATTTGTATCATACTATAGGCAACACTTGACAGGGAAAAGTTGCAAAATGTTCATTTTTGCATGGATCTTTTGTAACTAATGTATAATCATTCCAAAAATGATAAAAAATTGAAAATTGTAAAGTGATTGAACAAATTAACTGTTGACATTTAGGCATATCTCTAATTATTGCTGCATTAATATAATGATTTTTACAAATTGAATTATCAATTAATCTAAAAAGGCATATTATATAGATTGTTATTCAATAATGCACATGTTTTAAAACTTTACTATGAACTCTGACGTGTTGTTAATATTGCTTTTACAGGTTGAAGAACCTGGAAAATGTATGAGATCGTGGAAATGGACAGTGGAACATATACTCTACAAAGCTTTTCGGTCATACCTTTTACCTCCTACAAATTTTAGAGAAGATGGCAATATTTTACAACTTGCTAATCTATTTGACTTGTACAAAGTTTTTGAGCGATGCTAAATGCAGATATTTATTCTATAATATTTAATCTGTTTTCTTTCTCATTATAAACTTTAATCAGTTAATCACAAACTTCTGCATAAAATGACTATATTGTATGGTTAGAAAATTAATCCACTATTGTTCAACATTTCACAATATCCACATATTGTACAATGAGCAAACAAAAACTTAATTAAACTCCTAGATTTCTGTTTATAACAAAAATGTAAGATTTAAATCCTCATACTACTATTAGTGAACCGTACAATTGATGAATTGGAAAAATATGGAAGACCAGAATTCTCTTTTCTTGATCCTATTTTAGTATTTCTGCTGGCAGATAGTCTGGGAATAGGTGATTAGAGCATCTTTGAATGTAAAGGATCAAATTTTATATGGAAATATAGATAGTGCTCAACTTACGATCGGAAATGAAAACCAAGTTTTTGTTGCTAAGCAAGATAGTTAAGTGAGTTTTGCCCCATTTTATGACCTTTCTTGCCATAGTTGTTAGGTGAATCACTGCTGTAACATAGGTGTTAAGTCAACGTGGCTTGCCCATTGACTTTGCTTGTCAAGAAATTGCAAAAAGTGGTCACATGATCCTGAGACACTGCAGTCATCATAAATACAAGTCAGTTGCCAAGCATCTTAATTTTGAACACGTGACCATGGGGTTGCTGCAATGGTCATGTAAAAAATGGTCACAAGTCACTTGTCAGTGCTGTTGTAACTTTGAATGGTCACTAAACAAACTGTTGTAAGTCAAGGACTATCTGTATTAGAAATTAGCAATTTTCTTAGTAATATAATGAATATAAACAGATTCTGTTCATATAATTTTTACTTAATTATATCCTGTCAAGTTTATTATTCAAGATAAGTAGCAAACATTTTCAGTCTGTAGTGTTTTGAGTTATATGGGAGGATAAAAATTCTTAGAATTAGTACATTAAAAAGCTCAACAATGAAAATGCCAGAGAACATTAAGACAAGAGACACCCATGCTATGCAGTGTCCATTTAATAGGTTTATACCTGTCACATTTCTCCCACCCACATTTCACTCCTCACTTAAGCATCGCACACATCAGGTTTCACACACTAAATAACAAATCTTGCACACTCTTACATTAAGAATAGGGAAGGTCTTAGTTGAAATTTCAAGTGTCCATCACCATGCAATAAAGCAGATTTTATACAGTAATTTCTATTTTATATAAATTTAAATATTGTACAAAAGTGTTCCATAAAAATGTATAAAATTTAGCAAACAAGACTCCAATTGTATTTTAAAATAAATGGTATTTGTTTCCATATTTTGTTCTAATTTCATTGCACTATATTAAAGGCACGTGTATACCATGTGAGGATTTTGAGCACATAATTGGTTAGTTTGTTGTGAAGCATACTCTTGAATTTGTGCATTTTTTTCCAAGCACCAAGCATTAAAGCAATTGAAAATAATTCAGAGAATAAACTTGATTTCACAAGTGTAAAAATAGTAGTTTATATAAAGTAAGTCAACCATAGAGTATTGGGCTCCATCAGATTTTTGAATTAAGCTGCTAAAACTCATCAACGGCATGGAGATGTAAGCGAATTTCCCATTTGTTCAAATTAAAATATTTGCCACTTAATTATGAAACAAACTCACTGAACAGCTTTGTTTTCAAATTTATGCCAAGGAAAGTCTATATTAAAATAAGCTCAAGCATTTCAAGGAGCAGCACATTCTTTAGTTTCCTTTCTATTGTTGAGATAGCAGTGCAGTTCGATTTGCCTTCATTTTCTCTAACCGTTTCACTAAATGACTGTTGGTCATCTCCATTTCTTCTATCCTATCCAATGCTGTTCTTAACTAAAAAAAAAAAGGGAGACAAAAGTTAGTTTTGAGAAAATCAACGCAGCGTCTAAATATATCATAAAACTACAAAATGTTTTTGTTGCAGCTTTTTTATTGAAACAAGGTCCACAATTAATTCAGATCTAAAACTCTTTGCTTACAAAAAAGATTTGAAAGCATTTTAGCTCTATTAGGTTTAGTAGCATCAGGTTAAACAATTAAACTAGGTAACAAAAGATAAACTTATGCAGCAGCTAACTTATGAAACTGACAATACTAAAATTTTCATGTAAGTCATAACTCAATTGCTTTTCTTTACACTTTTAATATCCGCTATCAAATACAAAGGTAAAGAAATCACTCAGAAGACGGAGCACATGAGTATGCTTTTTGGCAACACACACAGGGTACCTATGTTTTCATTCACTATTCCACTGCATTCTGAGCCAGCTGTAGTTTTCAAAGAGACAAACATGAAGAAGTAGTCTAATCTTGAAATAGCATTATTTGTTACCAATAGAAGCTCTCTTATTTGCCAACACTGGTTAAAAATTCCACTTGTCATGAAGGCTTCTCAATTGCCCATGCCAAATCTAGGATGAACTCCAAGATGGAAACCTGGTCTTTAGATAAAGTATCACCAAATCCAAATTCCAATCCCCAGAACTGGCAATAAATGTCCAAATTAATGATACCTCATGATCTTGGATATATACAAAGACTTTTGAGATGTCCAACCTGCTTCACAGAAAAAAATATATCACTGGGTATTGTTTCATGTCAAACTGGAAATTCAAGTCTATGTTTGTCATTTTTCCATTCTTTCAGATGCTAAAGTAGGACATAAGCCTTGTAACATCTCCTAAGTACATGGAGTCATCCAGGACATGGCTGTCCCTAAGGTGCTTTTCAAAAGGCAACTGAACTTTATTTTTCCTTTAAGATGTTTTGCTTCTCATCCAAGAAGCTCCTTCTGGAGAAGCTTCTTGGATGAAAAGAGAAACATCTTCAAGGAAAACCTAAAGTCCAGTTGCCTTTTGAAAAGCACCTTTGGGCTCTCCCAAGCCAATCCCCAAAAATCAAAGCAAAAATGCCCCAATGCTACTTTCTGAGAGACTGGAGCAAACAATAGGACTCTCTACCCTTTAAGAAGCACCTGAGAGACCGCAGAAATAACAAAATTGCATATCTCTAACATTCCTTGAAGGCAAACTGCAACAAAGCTACAAAACCCACAGTAGAAAGGATTTCAGTAGTCAATTTCCTGCAAAAGTACCTGGATTTGCAAGCACCATCATTTTGACTAAACATACAATTCAGTGTATATTTGTGGTGGGATTCAAATAATTTAACAACAGGTTCTCTACCCTAATGACGGTGGACTGTGGGTGTGGCCAACTTGATTGGTCTCCTTACTCCAAGTCACAATAAAATAGCACTGTTCCAATATTTAGAATAGAATAGAATAACAGAGTTGGAAGGGACTTGGAGGTCCCTCTCCTTAGGCAGGAAACCTACACCACTTCAGACAAATGGTTATCCAATCTCTTCATAAAATCTTCCAGTATTGTAGCATTTACAACTTCTGGAGGCAAGTTCCACTGATTAATAGATTAATTACACTAACCAAAGAGAAGAAACCTAGGACTAAGAAGAAATTTCCTAAGGGTGAGACCAATTAACCAATAGAATCACTTGTCTTGAGAAGTTGTGGGTGCTCCATCATCACTAGAAGCATTCAAAAAGAGTAAAGGGGACAGAGAGGGAGGGAGAGGTGGGAAAAAACGAAAGGAGATTTCTTCAACAACCAGTTCTCCAAACTGCTTAGAAAGTTAACAGATTCTAGCGAATAGGTGAGAACTGGTAGAATTCCACCACTAGTAATAGAGCAACACTGTTTAATAGTTCCAAAGAAATCCAACTATCCAGTAATCTGTAGATGAAGAAGAAAAGCCATCCTTTTTCTCAGAATAAATTTAAATTCATGATTTATTCATAATTTTTCCTTTAATGCTCAGAAAAGGCCTACGTGAAGACATCTCCACTTTCTGGAGATATGGTCTTTTCTAAAACATTGGCAGATGCTTCTAATCAAGCTATTGTTCAATGGATCCTAACCATAATTGAGAGATTTTATTTAGTGAGTCTATCTATCAGTATCTGACTTTGGACTGGCTATGACTGAGGTTAAGACCAAACCAAGGAGAATGGATATTCAAGAGTAGGTTAAGAATGTATGTTTCTCACTCTGTATTCAGGAAACGTGCTAGCTTGGGAACAAAATCACTTGAGTGGGCAAAACAATCCCCAAATACAAGGACTCCTCAACTTATCTGTAACCCCCCTGTTGTGAATGCCTTCAAAGTCACCCTTCAGGATAGTAATGCTTTCATATTAAGATTGAAAAACCAAATAATGTTTGCTAGGATTTAACCCAGTGATTTTAGATTCACTAAAAGAATAGGATATAGTCTATGTATTTCTGTTTAAATATGGCACAGGTGACATTGGAAACCTTGCTGTTGGAGAGTAAACCAAGGAGCTAACAAGACTGTGTAATGTACCCAACCCAGATTACATGTTATATATCTGGTTATACAGCATGCATCACTTCTCAAAGAAGACAGAAAAGTGAGGTGGCATTAGAACTATATGCCAAACCTTTTGGGGTTTTTTTGTACCACAATGGAATAAAGAGATCTCTTAATTTGTTAAGAGCTTACACCCTCTTGTTCTGAAAGAGGACTTCAACAGAATAATGTCTTCAGTACCAGGATCTTGAAGGAAGCAGAAATTATGCTTGAGGAATCCAATAAATAGACGTACAACTGGTTTGTCAGCTAATTGCAAGTCCATCTAGTGGTGGTGCTATCCCACTTTTTTCTAGCTTACTAAGAAGTAGGTTGTGGTCTACTTTGTCGAATGCCTTGCTGAAATCTAAATATATTATGTCCACAGTATTTTGCTGGTCTACTAATTTAGTCACTGTGTTGAAGAATGAAAATAAGATTGCTTTGGCATGATCTGTTTTTAACAAACCCGTGCTGACTGCTAGTTATTACTTTACTTGTTTCTAGATGTTGGCAGATCTGTTTTTTATTATCTTTTCCAGTATCTTCCTGGGTATTGATGTTAGGCTGATTGGTCTATAATTTCCTGGGTTTGTTTTTTCCCATTTTTGAAGGCAGGAACCACATCGGTTCTTTTCCAGTCCTCTGGTAATTCCCCGGTGCTCCAGGATTTTTGAAAGATATGGTGCAGTGGTTCTGAGATGACCTCTGGCAGCTCCTTTAAAACTCTTGGCTTGCGGTTGGAGAGCGGGTCGCCACTGATCATTTTCTCAGCTCCCTCACGGATCTTGCCCTGTGTATAGAACGTGTTTCCCTTGCACATTTGACCACAGCAGCCCACAGCAGGCTGAGGTGTACGAAGGGAATGCAGTCCAATGCTGGCCAAGGACAAGACCCGCAAGGGAACCAATACAACCATCAGCAACCTTCTTTCCAAATGCAAGCAAAACAGACAGCAGGACGTCATGGTGGCGGCAGTAACCAGAAGCAGCAGCACAGGGGAGAGGCACGCAGCCTGCTTGCTGGGTGCACCAGGAAACCATCTTTCCCACCCTAGCCACATGGGATGGAGCAGACATGTCTGGTGGTCCACATCATGTGCCTTCCTGGCTCTGCCTGCTGCCACCACACTTGCTTTTTTGAGAGCCAGGGGGCAAAGCCCCTGCTGCCGGACACCTCCCCCCCACATGCAGACACACACAGACACACACCTGAAAGGCCAGAAGAACAGAGGAGAAGCAAGCCTGCTGGATCCCAGTCACATGCAGGTGTGTCTGGTGATCCACATTATGTGGCTCCCCCCGAGTCTGTCTGCAGCCACCACACCTGCTTCTTGGAGGACCACATGCAAGCCCCTGCTGCTGGACACACACACACACACACACACACACACACACACACACACACACACCTGAAAGGCTGGAGACGCTTATCTTTAACCTGGTAGCATCCACACCGGGATGGGGTGAGCCAGCCCGCCACCTCCTATGCGCATACTGGGATGGGCCGTGCCTGTGCATGCATGCTCCTGTTGCCTCCTGTGCGCACACCAGGACAGCCACGCAGGCCAGATCCAACCACATTGTGGGCAGCATCCAGCCTGCAGGCTTTCAGTTTGACACCCCTGATCTAAACTATCTATATCCTTAATGGCGAACCTATGGCATGCTTGCTGGAAGTGGCACTCAGAGACACCTCTCCAGGCATACCCGTTGGCTCTTCTGGTTCCAGCGTGCACATGCACACCATCCAGCTGGTCTTTGCATAACCAGAAGAGCATCTCCGCCAACTGGTCTTTGCGTTCACATGCGCGTTACAAACTGGAAGACTAGGTGACTGGCATGCATGTGTGCACCAGGAAGCTAAGCTTCCAGTTTCTGGCGCTCCCACGCAGTGCGCTGAGGAGCTGCTCTTCCAGTTTTTGGTGCACATGTGCATGCTCCAGTTTCAGCACTTGATGCCAAAAAGGTTCACTACCATTGATCGATATGAATAGGAGGTGTTAAGGGTAGAATTTGGCAATATCTTCTTCCCAGAGACCTCATATTCCCATTTGTATATTTGGGAGGTTTCAAGGAGTGATGAAGGAAAATTGCACTGCTGGAAATGGATTATGTTATTGCTAAATATTTAATAAGCCTGATCTTGGCTGCTGAATTCTGCAAATGATTTTGTTTCTGGCAGTCTTGCAAACATAAAATTTCACACCACAATTGTAAGAAACCTACAGACAGAATATTTATACTACTTTGAAGTAATGTCAAATATCGCTTTAAATATAGCACATATTATTCACAGCTCAATTACTATACTATTACAAATCTGTTTTCACTGAAAGGAAAAGGAGACACTTACCTCTCGCTGAAGTTTTCTCTTTTCTGCTTTCAGTTCATCTTCTACTTTTTCTGCATTTTCTGCAGCATTTTTATATCTCACCACCTGTCCTTCAAGTCTTAAAACCTAAAAGACCAATGATTTGTTTATCTTCCCATATGCAAGGAAGACTCAGTGTAACTTTGACTTTTCCTTAAAAGCACTAAATGGAAAACATTTACGTTTCACTGTTCCTCCCAAGGAACCAATGCAAACACCAATGGAGTCAAGTGATATAATCATACCCAGAAACTCAATAGAATACTAATTCAAATGAAATGCAAACATGGCATTGATATTATCACTGATTATAAGTAAAAATTTTCCCAATGTAAACGTTTATGTGCACTATTTCTAGATCTGATATAGTTTTCTTGGGCAGAGGGTTGCACTAGATGGCCTACAGCACAAAGTCCCTTCCAACTCTATTAATCTGTTAGATAGTCCTCTTTTCATTTCTTTTAACTTGAGATGGCCAAATATCTTTCCTGGCCATTAGCTCATATATAGAGCACTTACACTATGTGCTTGAAGACTGGTTCTCTTTAGAAAATATCAAATCCTGTACATCACTGGCCTGATAATATAGTGATAGGATTCCCATACTAGTAGTGCAAGAGAGACATCTTATGTGATGAATTAGGGGAGACAAGGTATAGAGCCCTTAAATTTGAAATATATCAACATCTTAAAAGATACCTACATTTTGTTCCAAAGTAGTTATATCTTGTTCAGCTTTTGAAAGTTTAAATTTGAAATCACTTATTTGTCTGTTGGCATCTCCTAGGGACAATAAAATTTAGAATTTAAGGACTGTAAATCAACCTTCCAAATTCTCTTCAAATCAAATTTTTACTTATTGCAAATGTTTGTTGTGGAGAGAAAAAGAGCACTAAATGTGGCAATTAAGTAACTCTGGAGACTGGTATTTTTCAACATTTATTCCTGAAAGGTCATGAGATGAATGCTTAAGATCTCAGGAGTTCAGTCAACATTTTTATTGGAATATAAAAAGCAGAATGACTTATGTAATAGTATTTTGATCTTAAATACAATAAAAATGTGGTTATTTAAAAATAACTGACTGCTAGATCAAAAGGTTATACAAATTAACAGTCAAGATATTTCTCATAGTGTCAGTAGAGAATGTAACAACTCAAATGAGAAACAGATTTTCTTTCTGTACTTTCCATTCTCTCTGGTTATGACAAGAATTCTATAAATTTCACAACTGGAACCAGCCTTTGCTTATTTTCCTTAATATTCCCTCATTTTACTTTAAATTGTACCTTATACATCTAAAACTATATACATATACTTTCATTAAATCTGCTTTATTTATCATCTGGTATAAAATTACAAAATTCAAACTGAAAATTTGCATAGAAATCAAGACATGACTATTTAAAGTGCATCTCCTTTGAATACTGAATGAATTAACATACTCTGCATTTCAATTAATTGCAAATCAGAACCATTTTCCAGTCCTGTTAAATCAGAATTTGTGCTTTCATTCTTAGAGGATTTCTGCCGTGCCTCTTCCAATTGCAATTTCAGTTTTTTAATCTGAAATTAAAATAACACAATATTTTCAGTATTTCATTTCAAACTTTATTTATTCTTTATCTAAAATGAATGGATATCATATTTAACAAATAATTAGCATCTACTGCTATAATCGGGAATCTAGTGTGATTGTTTTCAGCTTTAAATAAATCTAAGGATTTGTCTGAACAGGATCTGCTACTCCAATAAATTGACAATTTAGCCGGGGATAGCATCCATTAAAATGCTAAAATTATAGGAAAAATTGTTGTGAATATCTGCATTGAATAAATTGCCATGTTCTATGAATGGTTTTAACTAAAACAAAAATTCTATTGAATAGTTTTATGAATGTTTTGTTCTCTGCAGATGTAGTCAATATGGTATAAACAGGGATTGGTATTAGGGAGAATTTGTGAGATGATTTTGATCCATCACTAAATCTCAGCTCAACCTACTGCGCAAGGCTGTAATTTTTAGTAACAAACAGAAAAAATTAAATGCACGATTAAGAAGCTGACATCTAAATATTCTTATATTGAGTTAAACTTAAGTGTATATGACATCACTTCAAATGTACATTTTTCTGCCTACATCCACATTTTTGGGGATATAGCTTTAAATATACTATTCAAAGGTTAAATGGATGTGGCACTAAGCATGCTATTCAAAGGCTAAACTATTTCCCATAATTAAGTTTTAATTTAATAACAAAGTGCAGTTGGTTTATGACCTCCAGAGTTAGCATTATTTCTTTAGGCTATAATTCTGTTGCTACTTAAGCAACAGAAAGTTAAGGTGGAGATTATCCTGTTTTACAGATAAGATCAGATTGTTATATATTTTTTAAGTACAGCAATATGATCTTTCATTTATAAGACAATTTTCTATCTCCAGTTTAACTTTTTCCCACAAGTTTTCCATTATAAGCTTAGAATTCAACATATGTAAAGCCCCTCCTGGATCATCCTCCATCAATAAGCAGTCAGAAGAAAATACAGGAAAAAAAATCCTACATGAATCCTATGGTTCCTGGATGATTGCAGAAGCTACAGGATTATATTCTAAGCAAATAGCTAGCTGTGGAGGTCATAAAGCAACTGTACTTTTTGTTATTTAATTAGAAACTCATTATGGGAAGTTGTTTATCTCTTCAATTTAGAAACTTTCAGGAGACTTACCTGTGATAATAACTCTTCCTTTTCTCCTGCTAGCTTTCGTAGCCTAACATCTAGAACAAACAAATAGTTTAATTTCCCAAATTGGCTTTTGAAGAATACTTGAATTCCATCTGAAGAATTTGAGGAGGGTGACTTGGGAAAACTGAATTACAGCAAGATCACTTTAAAAATTGTAATTTTTGTAATATAGGGCCAACATAAGCATTTAGGTTCATTAACTCTTATATAGTAATCCTCACTTACCAACTGCCCTGTTCAGGGATTATTCAAAGTCACCTGTGCAGAAATAACTTTACAACCAATGCCTGCATTTATAACCTTTGCAGTATCTCTCAGTCATCTGATCACAATTACAGTCAATATACATTGTATCTATTGTTTTTCTCTCTCCCCCTCTGCACAGTGGAGAGGTTGGAGAGAAGGGATTACAAGAGAGTAAGCAGGCAAACAATGGGGAATATAGTCAAAAGAATATACTTATTTCAGTAGGTGTGAGGACACTACACAAACAGTCCAGTATTCCTTAGCGTGTGCCCGCTTACTTTTTTGTAATCTGGTCCTCTCCTATGAATATAAATATTAATTGCCTTCTGGTTAATTATCCCAACACCAAGATGAATATTCCAAAGAGGAAGCATGTGATTAGGAGACAAACAAAAGTTTAAGATGTGAAACTGATTAGTCTTGTCAGCTTCCAGCCAGCTATTTCAATGCAGCGTACTTGGAATACTTTCTATAGGAAGTATTCTAATACACAGCAACTTAAATTTAAATATTTAAAAACAGAAATTTATTACACGTCTACAGACATTTTGTAAGCCTGAAAAGATTTATGAGGTCTGGAACCAATTACACAGAACTAAAGGGCTAATCTGTCTAAAAGTACAATTCTTTTGGTATACTTTTTAAATTTATATCCATTGAGGCCACAATATAATGTTAATCTTTTAAGAAAACGCTTATTTTACCTAGTGGTCCTTCCCCTGCTGATTCCAAAACTTGAGCAGCTTCTTGTGATACAACTGTAATTGTACCAATTACTGGTTCATGGTTAATATCACCATTTGGAGTGACTTCTGGGATTATTACTAATCCATGTTTCTGGGGGGGTGGGAAAGCAACATTAACAATATCTATCAGAAAATTTTATTTTACAGATAAACTCTTTACTTAACTGACATAATCAAAAATACAACATCATTGCTTCCATACATGAGTTTGTAGAAAGGAGAAAACGATGTGGTAATGATGGTGTACTTTCCATTACATTATCTATGCTCTGATTCCCCAATCTACATTTGTAAGAAGTACTACTGCTAACATACCTCTCCTCTCTTCATTGTTTCCTTCATATCAGCCAGCTCATCTCTGAGCTCATCTCGCTCAATTCTAATGCAGTCAAAATATTCTTTTTGTCTCTCTAGAGCCTGGTTACAGCAAAGTAGCACAAAGAAAATAGTATAGAAAAAGAATGTGTGATAGATAAGAGATTTCTTGTAAATACAGGAACAGGACTAAACAAAAAGAAGAAAAAGCCTCACATAAATAATCCTGTGCTTGCCACAAAAGTCATATCCAGCACAAGAATTCCTCAGTTATAATGGGTCTGTCAAATATGTATCTAGTTTTATTCATTATATTACAAATATACTTTAAATGTAATTCCAATGTAGTATTTCTTCCACACTCACTAAGCCTATCATTCTCACAAATAAATCCCAATCCCAACATTTTATAAAATATGAAATATATCACATAAATTATGGCTGAATTGAAATTTGGTCATTCATATGTAGTTCAGACGTACTAAAATTAATGCAACTAAAAACCATTAATTTTGGTAATTCTACTTTGCAATTAAAACTGTACCAAATCACATTATGTTTATTCAAATCCTAGAACTATACTGAGCAAGAAAATATAATCCTCTGTGATACATTAAGATTTTCAAATATAAACACTTGGATCTTGTGGGTACAAAATTATATGTATGGTATTATGATTTTCAATTTAAATGAACCAATGTTGTCAACCAGAGTTTTTTGTGAAAGAAAATTAAAAGAAAAAGGGAACCATATGGTTTCCAGTTTCTATCCAGACAGAGCCCTAATTCTAATTTGTGTGCTAGATTTTATATGATACCTGTTTCCCAGAAGCCAATCAGTTAGCAAATTGGTAAGCTTTTAAATAGTTTCCCCAGCGGTCCACCAATCAGTAGATTCCCAAGAACTATGGAATGAAGAGAGAACTGCATCTACAGGTAATCCATACAGATGGCTCATATCCACCATTCCACCTATATTTCATTTTTAATCATAAACACTAAGCATCCAAATACAAAACTTAACTGCAACACTGAAAGTACTGAGAAATCATCAAATGTAGATGCAGTATATCCTCTTGAATGGCATTTATTATCTAGTATCTAGCATTAATTTGTTTTATCTAATTTACTGCTATATTTGTAATTACTATATTCAGATCCCCTGCATACCGAAACCATTAACAATCTTGTCAACATTTGCCAGTCTATTCCTAATCATTTTTCACCTCAGAATAATCTCATACCCCAATTTTTTTATCTTTCCAATTAACTGTCTCCTGGAGGTCAAACACCTCTTTGGATATAGATTCTATTTTCTGCTGCATGCGCTGGTTCTCCTGCAGTAAACACAGGGAGAAGAATAAAAGAAGAGGAAAAACAAGTAAAGGGAATTACAAAAAGATAAAAAGAAGTGAGTAAATAAGCCAAAGAAACATGAAAGACAGAGGTTTTATGAACAAAAATTTGAAGGGTAGAATTACAAACAGATTTAGGATTTACCCACAACTGTCTAGCATTACAGACAGTCCTTGATTTATAACTATTCATTCAGTAACCATTCAAAATAAAGATAGCACTGAAAAAAGAGATTTAGGACCCATACCCAAATTTATGGATACTGTAGCAATTTGTGCTCCACCTGGCAATCCATCCACAATTATGACCAATCACAAGGATGCTGCAAAGACCTCGCCACCATCTCCCCTATCCTGCCTTGCTGGGTCCCGCAGATCTTGCATCTGCTTCCCATTCCACTGAGTTCTACACTGTCTTCCCCAATCCGCATCATAGCTTGATCACTTACCTTTTAGGATAAATTTCCTTTAGAAAGCAGCTACTCTGCCACATGGCCATTCTGCACAGTTGTGGCTGCATTCACTGTCCCAAAAACGGGCATCATTTTGGGAGTGGCCACAATTCCAATGATGCAGGAAGGGGAGCATGGGAAGGGAATGGGGGAGGTCATGGGAAGCCTAGCAGAGGCTACATCTGAACTGAAGGTTCTGCAGTGCAAACCTGGGCATGCACTAGGTCTCCTAGGGCTTCCTCCACCTCCTTGGCACCTCAGGCTCTGCTAATAACTATAACAGGGAGAGCAGTGATTGGGGTCATTAAGTGAGGTAGTCACATAGGTACCTCATATAATAACTTTCACAATTTCTGTACATAATTGGCAAGTTAAAGTTCCATTATGATTTTAAGTCGAGAACTACCACAAATATATGTATAAACATATAATTTTACCAATACATTAATATTCAAAATTTTAAAATATTGGTATAATGTCACTTTTACGTTATATACTAGTTCAGCGTGGCTGCTACAGGTTGTGCCATATGTTTTTAATACACACAACATAGCAACTTCCTCAACTTTATATTACCACATTATACATAGCTTGTCAGCTTTGGAAGCCATATTAACAGCAGAAGCTTCCATGCTGCCACATTCCTGTGCCTGG